CTTATGTTAAGACTTATAATAACATATTTAATAATGATTTATTCACTCCAGATACCCTCAAATATGGATTATCATCATTTATTTGGTATTTTTTGTTTCGGACGTTACATTTGTTTCGGACGTTACAACTGTTAACGGAAAATTAGTTTTAACTATAAAATAGTATTGTAATGATGTATTGCAAATTTCTTTTTTGGGGTGGGTAGCCGCCATGAAATGTTTAACAAATGTTACAAAAAAGGTCGTGTAGTTCATATATTTTCTGCTACTTCAAATTGAAAGTTGTTTCGGACGTTACAAAATTGTTTACGGAAAATGAGACAACTTTTTCAAATTTTGAGTATATTTCTAGTATAAGCGCTACTACAATTAAATTATATTTTCTTTTAATTTAATGACTTGGAGTAACTAATAAGCTTATTCAAACCATAAACAATCTCATTAATTTATTGTTCTAGTGGGTTAAATGAGGGTCTACATTGTTTACGGAAGATGTAACGTCCGAAACACCATTTCAATTGCACTGTTCCATCAAAATATAGGAGTTAATTCAGATTACTGTTAACTTTCTTTAAGATCCACCCATGCTCATTAATCATCAATAGAAAAAAAACATAATGTTTGTGGGTATATATTTTTTCGGCTCCAACCAAAATGGTATGTCAATTTTGTTACAAAATTCCGTAAACAATTGGCTGTTCAGGGATAGCTGATGCACATAAAGCAATGTTGAAAATTTTTCATTAAGCTATGGGAGGTCAATCTAGGTCCATGCTACAAGAAAAATTTGTAATTGATTTCTAATTCTTTATCTTTGAAAAGTTTCAGGCTCTCAAAGGGCCATTTAGGTATTTGGTCATAGTTAAAAAAACCAGTGCCATATGCTTCCAATATCTTAATTTGAACCAAATTCATAACTTTTGTAATACCTTTGAGGCTTTCCAATCCGGCTAAAAAGACTATTTCCGCCTGGCTGTACTGTTCCTTTGAGTACATCATAATCATGAATTATAACTAGATAGCACTGTTTGTTTTTCTCTGGCTCAAATATTAATTCAGTACTTTAAGTGTTTTGTTTTTCTTCAACATTGCTCCTCGAATGGTCGCCACTGAGTTTCACAGCTTCCTTTCGTTGGTTGTGACCGTTAAATTGATGGTATGGGCAATGATTTAGGTGTCGACCGTGAACAGGGTGCGAGTATTACTAAAGGTTAACTGTGCAGTGCTAAACTATACTTATCCCTTCCTTCCTCTCCGAGAGAGAGAGAAAGAGAGAGAAGGCGAGCATGAACTAATATAAATACAAAATAAACATTGTCGTATACGCCTGTATATAATAATGTAAAACAAATTTAATACAATTTGCTCTTTACATCACATTGGCAAAGTTAGTTTAAACTCATTTAATTCAATAATCTTCATCATTTTAACAAAATCCAGATAAGTCTCGTTATATATATATATATATATGGATGGATCTGAAATAGGAATCATTCTCTTCTATTGTTTCCCACTGATTATGTAATTAGTTAATCCAAATCTATTCCATGTTACAGTTACATCTATATGTTTTCTGAGAGTAGCTTGATTAGCTAAAATGTCGACTCTTTCGTTTCCCTGAAGTTTACAATGCAACAGTATCACCTCAGAATGTTTGTCTATACCAAAACCGCTTAATTGTGTCTATTGATCCGATATTTCTATAATTATACTAGATTTGTTTATGTTTCTGGTACAATTTGGTGCAAGCCCGCTGATTGGCTATTGACTCACTTGGGTCGTCATTGAGAACGTCCGTAGATTTGGCCAAAAACCGCTCTGGATTTCAATACCTCAGCGGTATGGGTGCGCTTAATCGACACTTTTTCACCCTAGAATCACGATATTTAAAGACATTGGGTGGTATTTTCATAAGTTAAGCCAGGACTAAGTCCAGACTTAACAAGAATTTTAGTTCACACTTCTATGGAATGCTAGGTTTCGTCTTCCTCCTTCAATATTCATGACAAAGATAATCTATCAAAGACATTGTTGAAATTCAGTTCATACTCATATTATCTTTTTCTTCCCATTTCATTGCAAAATTATTTTTGGACATTTTTCATTGAAGGATTAATATAATCTGTACAGGGTAAATGAGTTGGCAACTGGCACTCCATAAAAGTGTGGACTAACTTAGTACGCGCTACCGGAATACCACCCGTTTAGTTTAAAACACGTTCCGTTCAAGCGATTTTTTCGTCGGTCGTAAAAATAAACGTGTTTAAAAACACAAACATGAAACGCTGAAAAAGATGCGTTTTGTATCATGATTCTGCAGAATGACGGTCGCTAAAATTCGATTGAACGAACGGAGTTTTCAATTATGATTCCATGGCGTCATTTTTGTGGCCTGTCCCAGTTTGGGCAAAAACCTCGCGCCTGCTTTTCATGCAATTTGCGTTCACTATACCATGCTCTTTATCGTGGCCTGTTCCGTTATGGTATTCCTTGTTTTCCTTCTATCATTTTCTCTTTCTGTCTTTCCTTATGTTATTCTTTGTTTCGTCTTTATATGTTATTCTTTGTTTTACCTTCTATCACCTTTTCTTATGTTATTCTTTGTTTCGTCTTTATATGTTATTCTTTGTTTTACCTTCTATCACCTTTTCTTATGTTATTATTTGTTTTTATAATTATATCACTTTCTCTTTTGTTATTCTTTGTTTCTTCCTTCTATTCTTTGTTTTTTCCTTCTATGTTATTCTTTGTTTTACCTTCTATCACCTTTTCTTATGTTATTCTTTGTTTTTTATAATTCTATCACCTTTTCGTATGTAATTCTTTGTTTTAATCATTCTACCACTTTCTCTTTCTGTCATTCCTTATGTTATTCATTGTTCCTTCCTTATATCACATTCACGTTCTCTTATGTTATTCTTTGTTTTAATCATTCTATCGACTTTCTCTTTCTGTCTTTCCTTATGTTCTTCCTTCTATCACCTTCTCATTCTTTGTTTTATTATTGCGATTTATGCTCATAGAAATGCAGTGCGCCAAATGCAAAGACGCAGCATCAAAAAGCAACGAGCTAAATGTTAAGCGCGAAGCGCAAAAATAGCAATCTGCAATGCACATCAGACAATCCTGGACAGTGTAAACATAGATGAACTCTGTGACGATTTCGTGATGAGATCAGAGACAAGGAGAAAGATTTTCGGACATTAGTATGACTTATAAAATAGTTCTCTAGTTGTTATGTTGTTTCCGTTCACCCTTTTTAAAATTCACGTCATTGTATCTTTATTTTTGTTTTTTTCGCTCATTTTATTTCCTGATATTTCCTAAAAGATTTTTCATTTTTGGAGAAATATTATTATGTCACAACTTATTTGTCACACAAATTATTTTCAGTGGGGAAACTGAATTCAGACGTGGATTAAGCGTAATAATCAACGAAGCGTCTTCTTTTACGAATAATTTAATGAAACGTGAAAGCTTCCGCGCTAAACGCGGAATGGGCGAAAATGAATACAGACAAGGATTAAGAGTAATAATTTATTGAAACGTTAAAGCTTAGGTAGGGGGGAAACTGAGTTCATGAAGGACACGATACAACAAATCGTCTTCTTTCACTAATGTGAAAGCTTCCGCGCTTCGCGCAAGAATGGTCGAAAATGAATTCAGACACGGATTAAGAGTCGAGAATGGTACATAGGATCGTCTTCTTTCTTTAATCATCTAATGAAACATCAGAGCTTCCGCGCTACGCGCGGGGAAGGGGGGGGGGATTTGATTCAAACATTAAGGATTAAGAGTCGAGAATGGTACATCGAATCGTCTTCTTTCTTTAATAATCTGATGAAACGTCAGAGCTTCCGCGCTACGCGCGGAGGAAGGGGAACTCGATTCAAACAAGGATTAAGAGTCGAGAACGGTCCAACGAATCGACTTCTTTCTCTTATAATTTAATGAAACATCAGAGCGGTAGGGGATAAACTGAATTCATGAAGGACACGATACAACAAATCGTCTTCTTTCTCTAATGTGAAAACTTCCGCGCTTCGCGTAGGAATGGGCGAAAATGAATTCAGACAAGGATTAAGAAACGAGAATGATACATAGGATCGTCTTCTTTCTTTAATAATCTAATGAAACGTCAGAAGGGGAAGGGGAATTTGATTCAAACATTAAGAATTAAGAGTCGAAAATGGTGCATCGAATCGTCTTCTTTCTATAATAATCTGATGTAACGTCAGAGCTTTCGCGCTATGCGCGGAGGAAGGGGAACTTTGATTCAAGCAAGGATTAAGAGTTGAGAATGGTACATCGAATCGTCTTCTGTCTTTAATAATCTAATGAAACGCCAGAGCTTCCGCGCTACGCGTGGAGGAAGGGGAACTTGATTCAAACAAGGATTAAGAGTCGAGAATGGTGATCGTCTTCTTTCTTTAATCATCTAATGAAACATCAGAGCTTCCGCGCTTCGCGGGGGGGGGACTCCCCCTCCCTGCACGCAACCCCCTAGGGACCGCGGTTCGCGTGCTCACTACCGCCCCCTAGAATGAAATCCTGGCTACGCGCTTGGGGGGGGGGGGGTGCAACTTGCCACACGCTTCTACCTCTTGATTGCTTTGATCCATTGCCGAAAATATTTTGGCACCTATCATCCCCCCAACCACGGATACAAATCGACACCCTTGGCCTTAAACAATTCCAGAAAGCGCGCGCCGAAGTTGACCTATACTTCCTGGGCCAAACTGCGCAGTGTGATGCGCAGTGGCTGGGCGGCTCGAAATGAGCTAGAATCAGCGTTAATGGAAAATCGCTTGAACGCTTTTCGTAGTGACCTTGTTTTGTAACGGCGTTTTGATTTGTGATTCATGTTTGTGATTCTAGCTTCGAAAAATTGCTTGAACGCACCCATATTAGCTTCTCGATTTTGCACATGAATCGCAGATTCTCCGTCCGCGTTGAGCTTGCGAAAACTCCTTATTATCATACAATCTTTGTCGTAACAGATATTCATGATCCAAACGATGGCGGGTACAATGGAGCTAACCCAAACGCAACTTTACCAGTTGGCAGAGAAGGTCAGTCCCAATGATTGGGTAACCCTTGGAGTCCGTCTGGGATTCCCGTATAACAAGATAGAGCAGTGGAAGGAAGAACATAAAGGGGTAAGCTTGAAATATGTTGAAACAAACATTAAAGGGCCACTCTAACCCAACTAACATAGCCATTTAAAACATGAATACACCTCTACTTATTAATATTCCAGCCTCTGATTCTTCTGAAAATCTCTGTATTGACCAAAAAATGATGATAACCATCCATTTGTCACAGTTCTCACGCTTGCTGGGCTACGCCCCTCGAAAATATATAATACGGTTACGTGGCCTTGATGACGCATTTGACGTCATTGCCGGCATGTCCGATTTGCCCTACAACTAAGGATCTTACAATCTCATTGTAATTCATAAATAAAACGTACTGGGATTATCAAGTGCATATTTTTTTCGGATAAATGTTTTTTTTTCTGCTTCCAATTAATATCATAAATTGCCTTTTTAAAGACATGTATAAATGCCTCCTTTTCTTCGGAGATGCTCCTACAGCGACGTCATAAACAGTTGCGCAATACAGCTCCGATACTGCGCGTTTTTCTGAGCGTTCTGAGTCGTAATGTTTAAAGCTAGATTCCAGAATTATTGATGATTTCTTGGAAAAATCATTTTCATGTCCGGAATCTCCGTCAAAAATTATTCTCCATGTCTCCCCCCCCCCCCCCCCCCCCCCCCATTTTTTAGCCCGTTTTGGTTAGAGTGGCTCATTTACGAGTTCATACAGAAATACCAGATTTTTAGGCAGGCGTGTACGATGCATTGCCAGGGCCTTGTAAACTCGCACAAGTGGTGAAGCAACTGTGTAGTGCCGTTTTACACCTATAATCTTGTTGTATAATATTGGACTAAGACAATAAATGGATTTGAACAAATTATTTATTGATAAAGATAGAAAGATAGATCAATAAACAAATAAGCAGTAACACAATTAAATGTAATGCTTGCATCTCGCAACAACAGCCGTTTTCTGCAACCCCATCTACTTCAATTTCCAAACACTGACGCTTTTATTTCCTTACCCCTCTCTACGTCTCTAAAAAAACTGGCGCTTCCGCTTTCTTTGCCCCTCTCTACGTCTCTCAAACACTGATGCTCCCGCTCTCTTTACCCCTCTCTACGTCTCTCAAACACTGACGCTTCCGCTCATTTAACCACTTCTCTACGTCTCTCAAACACTGACGCTTCCGCGTTCTTTACCCCTCTCTACGTCTCTCAAACACTGACGCTTCCGCTCTCTTTACCCCTCTCTACGTCTCTCAAACACTAACGCTTCCGCTCTCTTTACCCCTCTCTACGTCTCTCAAACACTGACGCTTTCGCTCTCTTTACCCCTCCCAACGTCTCTCAAACACTAACGCTTCCGCTCTCTTTACCTCTCTCTACGTCTCTCAAACACTGACGCTTTCACTCTCTTTACCCCTCTCTGCGTCTCTCAAACACTGACGCTTTCGCTTTCTTTACCCCTCTCTACGTCTCTCAAACCCTGACGATTCCGCTCCCTTTACTCCTCTCTACGTCTCTCAAACACTGACGCTTTCGCTCTCTTTATCCCTCCCTACGTCTCTCAAACACTAACGCTTCCGCTCTCTTTACCCCTCTGTACGTCTCTCAAACACTATCCCTTCCGCTCTCTTTACCCCTCCCTACGTCTCTCAAACACTGAAGTCCCGCTCTCTTTACCCCCTCCCTACGTATCTCAAACACTAACGCTTCCGCTCTCTTTACCCCTCTCTACGTCTCTCAAACACTGACGCTTCCGCTCTCTTTAACCCTCCCCACGTCTCTCAAACCCTGACACTTCCGCTCTCTTTACCCCTCTCTACGTCTATCAAACCCTGACGATTCCGCTCCCTTTACCCCTCTCTACGTCTCTCAAACACTGACACTTCCGCTCTCTTACCCCTCTCTACGTCTCTCAAACACTGACGCTTCCGCTCACTTTACCCCTCTCTACGTCTCTCAAACACTGGCCCTTCCGCTCTCTTTACCCCTCCCTACGTCTCACAAACACTAACGCTCCCATTTCCTCCCCGCTCTCTATTTTCCTTATCATACAAACGCTACAGAACATTCAGAATGGTATTTTTAATATGCTGGTCACTTGGCTTGGCATCCATCCTACCTCCAGCAAACCAGACGCCAGGAAGTTTCTAGCCGATCAGTTCAAAGCAATAGACAAGATCGACCTGGCGTACTCCCTTATCAACACAGGTTAGCAAAACATATGCCTCTTTGAAAGTATCGTTCAGACATTAATTTTTATATTTTATGAATTGCAATAAAATTCGCCATGCGCATTTTTACTGAGTCCAAAGGTTGAATGGTATCGAATTCCACATGACAGCTCACTACTATATATGTGTCTTTAAACCTTATCTACAGTATGATATATGATAAGGCAGTACACCTAGTTTGTTTCAGGGCTACACTTACAGGTTTCATTGTCGAGTGGTTTTAATACTTGACTCGACATTCGGGGGACGTGGATTCGATCCTCGCGGGAAGACACTGATGTCCCTGGACCGTGCTATGTTTGTACCGATATTAGATATACATGAACATGCATAATACGTATAATAACGGAATCAATTTGCCCGTTGCTCCACCAAGACATACGATGGTTAATATATTCGCATGTCGAGCAAGAACGAAACATTCTACAATCATTATATGGTCTAATCGATTTTTCTTTTGGAAGTTTCTATAAAGGATGTCTTTTGAATATTAATTTAAAGAGTAGTAAACAATGAGAAAGAGAAACGTCAAGAAGTATGAATCGAAGGAAAATGTACTATCCCTTTCAAATATTGACTTTCTACAAAGCACCGTTATTTTCAGTTCAGTATTTTTCACCGAATACTTGGGGTCAACAAATGTCTTCATACTTGACTTATTTTTATTTATGTACATTTTGTTTATCCATTGTTGAAATTTGTTACATTAGTTTTGGGACTGCCCGTTTACGTATCAATCTATCAAAGGCCTCCATAGCTCTCTTCTCAACAATGAAATGAATTTGAATAACAATATTTTTTATTTGATTTCCCAGACATTAACAATAAAGCTTTATTCTTTTAAATTGTATATGCAAAACATTAACCATTCTCGACCAAATGTAATGGAGAATAGTTATCCTTAAAGTCTTTCAAGAATATACTGAAACATTTTGTTTTGAAGTTAGGCGTTGTTTTTTCGATTATGAGTTTGTTTTATCAGTAGATAATTTGACAACTGCTGTAACCATGTAAACCACTAAACTACCATTTAAAATTACCACTCGTGGACAATTACCCCCGAGGATCAAAACCAACTGATTATCAGACTCGACTTTCCCTTTCACAGAGTGTTGGCTCAGTCAGTAGAGCGTCCGCCTCACAACCGGGAGGTCGTGGGTTCGAACCCCGGCCGCGTCATACCAAAAGACGTTAAAAGATGGGAGTTGTTGCTACCTTGTTTGGCGTTCAACAATAAGGGATAGAGCAACGTCGATCTGGCGCTGCTCAGTGGCTGCCGGGCTCACGATCAATTGGGCAAAAACAATTTCCGTTTCGGTTTAATAAAATTTCGAGTGGACTATTAGGCTATTATTATTATTAAATAACAGGGGGTGATTTACGGGGGCGGGGGGGGGGGGGGAGCTTATTGTCCTCGGGGTGGCTGTCCTTGCTTGTCCTGGGGGTCGGGGTGACAATTGTCCTAGGGGAATTACTTTCAGGATTGGGTAATTTTTCCTCGATGGTAAATTTTCCGGGGGTAGTTGCCCTTGGGGGGGGGGGGGGGTGATTGCCCAGGGGGTAATTGTCACAATACGACTTAAGTTGATTAATTGGTAAAGATTTCTTTTCTTTTTTACGAAGCAGTCATTATTGTTAATGTATAGCCCCTTGTCAGTATTAACCCCCCCCCCCCCATGTTTTCATCGTATCTCTTATATACTCAGAAGTCTGCTTTGTACCACCTCATCATATTAAAGTCAGTGACTCATCAAGACAATTCGAGTATGAGGTTCGAAGTTGCCAAAAAGAAAGAGGTAAGCTTTTTAAAATATTTTGTTAGAGTCTATCAGTATTTTCATTTCAAATCTTAAACACATGATTTATTTTATAAAAATATCTTATAATATTATCTTAACTACAGTGATTTAAACTCAGGTAAATTGAATACGGAAAAAAGGATAGGTGATAAAAGTAGAAGAAATGTATATTTCTCATATATCACTGGAAATATTCTTAATTTGTAAATCAAATCTTAAACACATGATTTATTCTATAAAAATATCTCATACTATCTTAACTACAGTGATATAAACTCAGGTAAATTGAATACGGAAAAAAAGATAGGTGACTAAAGTAGAAGAAATGTATATTTCTGATATTAAACATCACTGGAAATATTCTAAATTTTTAAATAATTTGCAATTACATGCTAAATGCTGATTTCGTAAAAAGGGCATCATTATAAATAAGCTCTTTAAGTCTAATGGACCGTACTGTCAAGTACATGTAAATGTTGATTTTCTTATGCTCTATACATTCTTTATTATATCCTGCATCAAAACTATTGGACTTTGATTGGTTGAGAGCTCGTCACATGACCAGAAATATTTCAACTATTTTAAGGTTACTCTGAAAAAGTACTATTTGGGAGTTGACATTTTAGTTTATTTTTGAAATTATTTGTTTTCCCCTTCAAATCTTAATTTAATAATTTGTTTTTATTCTTCAATTCTTTTTTAATAAAAATTGTGATTTATGAAATTTTCTTATTTTGTTGCAGGATATAAAACAAATATACCATGCCTTCTTTTCGAGGTACTGGTTTAAACTATGGACCCCTCAACAAATAATGCTATTGGAGTCACCTCTTGCGCATAGTTTTAACCAAAACCTCTCAAGACACTGTATATTTGTATATTGTCTTTAGTGCTATTCTATTGAGTTGTTATGTATATGCGAGCTTCACAAATCAAATCAAATGGAAATATACTTCAAAAGAAAAAAGATAGGCCTAGTTCATGCCTATCTATGTTTTCGGTAATAATTATTACCCTGTCTTACTCACTGGCATAATTTCTGTCCATTTCTTCTACAGAACTATCATTCAATGTTTCAATGGAGTCGAGAGAGGGGCTGGTACATCCTTCACTCATACTGGCAAATCTCTCTATGCCCTGCGAATTCGCCGATAAGTTGTGTGCTTGTATACATGCTCTCGGGCTTCGGCTCGTCCGGATGGAGATTCAGAGTGGACCCGGAAGTAGTATTAAGGTCACCGTGGCTGCTATCGATGAAGATGGCGTCAAGGAACTACGAACGAGGCTGATGTCACAACAGATTCACTTCATAGAAGACCTTAAGCGGATCATATGCAAATATGTTTCCTTTGATATCGAGGAGTCTGCAATTTATCTTCAAACTTCATTCTCTGAAGAAGAGTTTGGACGGGTCATCCAATTGTTTCGTGGTGAAGGTTTGTACAATTTCCAATTTAATGATAATAATAATGATAATAATAATGATAATGATGATAATAATAATTAGGTATATGAGGCGCGAAATCTCTTGAAATCGAAATTGTGCACACAAAAATGAAATCATGATCTTTTTTAATTTTCGGGTGGATACGGTACCAGAATGTGGATCACATGGTTCGTGGTTCGAGTACCATCGCGGCCTCAATGTCCTTTGGCAAGACATTAAGTTTATTTGAAATCAAACCTCAACTTTTTGGTTGCAATAAATAAATAATAATCATACACCTTAATCTGCATTTGCCACACTCGACCCAGGTGAGGTAAATGGGTACCTGGCATGAATTAATTCCTTGAAATACTAGAGCGTCATAAATGGCAGCCATGCTAAAGCTGGGGTAATAATTGTGTAGCACCAGGGGAGAATGAAATCAGAGAGACATGAGCGCTATACAACACCGAGCTTTTAGTGTTATTACGATTTATATTATCTATTAAGAAATAAATGAGCAATTAATTAATGCTTGGGGTATTGTTTTCTTACAGCAAGCTCGGCATCTTCCAATGCGGCACCTTTACGAGTAAATAACTTTGAGATCGTCCGACTAGCCAAAGAATTGGATGCTAATATGCTTACTCTACTTGGCTTAAAACTTGGTAAGTTCAATTTTATACACATGGTAATAGTATCAATAATCATGCTCATATTCATAATGATAACAAGAATCATACCCATAATGATAATTTTAATAACCATTAAGGAATTGAATGCTAGTATGCCCACTCTTAGACTACTAGGTTTCAAACTGGGTAAGTTTAATTTACCCATGAGGATAATAACAAGAATCATACTCATAATCGTAATGATCATTAGTAAAATATTGGATGCTAATATGCTCACTCTACTAGGTTTCAAACTGGGTAAGTTCAATTTACCCATGAGGATAATAACAAGAATCATACTCATAACCGTAATGATAACTAGTAAAAAAAAATGGATGCTAAAATGCTCAATCTACTTGGTTTAAAACTTGGTGAGTTCGATGTACCCATGATGCAAATAATAACAAGAAGCAGACTCGAAGTGATAATTATAATAATCATTGAATAATTAGATGCTAGTATGCTCACTCTATAGTTGGTTCAAAACTTGGTAAATTCGATTTACCCTCGATAATAAAAATAAAGAGATTGATGCTCGTAATGATAAAGACAATAATAATTGTAATGATAATAATAATTGAATAATAGTAATAGCAGTAATAATGATAATGGTAACAATAATGATAATAATAATAACATTGTATGAACATTGATGAACATAAATACACAATATGAACGTTAAAATTTACCCGATATTAGGTACAATTCTTTCCAAATAAGAGTGTTAGATTATGAAAGTGATAATAACTATACTTCAGCTACTACTACTACCATTATCTTATTATTAGCATTAACATTATTATCAATTATTATTATTATTATTATTACTACAACCAATACTACTATTACTACCTTTACTAATCATAACAATGAAATTAATAAAATAACAATAGTAATAGTAAGTAGCAACGGTAATAATAACAGTACAAGTTGTAGCAGCAGCAGCAGTGCTAGCTGTAGTTCTAGTTCTAGTTATATTCGCAGTAGTAGTAGTAGTAGTAGTAGTAGTAGTAGTAGTAGTACTAGTAGTTAGTAGAACAGTAGCACAACAAATAGTATAAACGTCGCAGTAATAGTAATTTACCAATATTTCAACCATCATTTCCCCAGGTGTAACGGAGTCTGAGATGAGTGATCTCCGAACCCAAGGCAAGAATAGCCGCTCGATATTCGAACATATGCTTTTTGTTTGGAAATCAAAGCACAGTCCGTGCATTGATGACCTTTCCGATCTGGCTGAGATTTTGGAGTCGGTAGGTGCCGCTTTATTAGCCCAACAACTCCGGCGAGGAGAGCTGAGAGAAAGCGAAAGGGAAGGTTGGTTACATTTCCACCAATTTAGATAATTATTGATTAAATCTTAATGTGATTTAAACTAAGGTCAATCCATAACCAATAGAAAAAAATAGAATCTGATTTATCAAGTTTGTGTTGATCGATCCCTTGGAGTCACCAATCATTAATCATTAATGAACAATTGTCATGATTCTATGAATAAGTGAATTTAAGACTGATAAATGAACATAATAGGCCTACTGTGCTCTATTCCTTCTGTAATTATTTTATTATTTCTATTCTATTTAGTGTGGTTCTGGGATTTTCTTGCTCTGTTTTTTGTTCTGTTTTTAGACGTGGTTTTGTTAGTGTAATAATTCAGTATTGTTTTGTACTTTAAATAATTGATAATAAATATTGTATGAATAATAATCAATTTTTTTTTTTTTAGACCTATGTTTAAATTGATATTTTACATGTATGTACAATTTGTAATTATTGCATTATATACTTATGTTGTTATACTGAAATTGTATTATGCAGGGCTTTCTTGAAAAACAGGTCCACTGGCTTCCAGTGGAACTGAATGAAATTACGCTGGTGAAAGAAATCATGAATAAATAAATAAATGAATAAATGCTACAACTAGTATCGTAATGGGTCTCTTTTATTTTTCTTTATCTTCTTCTTTCTTCTTCCTTCTTCGTCTTCTTCTTCTTCTTCTTCTTTTTCGTTAACTTCTTAATATTATTCTTCTCTTCCTTCTTCATCTTCTTCTCCTATCTACCTATCTATCTATCTTTCTTTCTTTCTTTTCTGTTTTGCCATTCTTTCTTGCTTAACTCAGAACAAAGAAGGACTTACCTGCAGCGGGCATCAGCTTCTTGTGATTTAAAGGCACTCATGAAGAACCATCCATTCTCGAGAGCCAAACTCCCAGGACCAGCCGATGCTACAGCTACCCAAGTCTCACCATTGCCACGATACGTGAATTACCCCCAACCGGCACCCTCTGAGGACAGCCAAGAGTCCATTTCTGGACAACGTACGTACGCACACACCGTTAGTTTGCAGGATAAAGCGCGCCCTCTCCCAGAACAGGATGCTGGCGACCCTGACTACGCAAGAGTCATACATCGGACTGGACAGGCGAACCCACTGGGATGTATACAAGAAGATGTACCAGCTATAGAGGAACCACTCTGTAAGTGTGACCCATGTGTTGAGCAGCAATCACCACTCCTGGGGAGTGTTTCACAAAGACTAAGATCGACTTTTAAGTTGGACTTAACTATGGCAGGCCGTTCATGCCACTAGTTGCTATCACCATTGGTCCTTCAAGAGACGTCACAAATGTACATAACTTGTTGTTGTTGATAGTTTATTATTGAAGAAATAAGTTACTTAAATTGTAAACTGGAGTTATATCTAAGACGTTTTTTTCTTCAAAAATGTTGAGAGCAAACAGTGACATGAACAGCCTGCCATAGTTAAGTCCAACTTAAAGTCGATCCTAGTCTTTGTGAAACACTCCCATGGACCATTTAGAATACTAGCGCATTCGAAGGCGAGACATGGGGCCAATTTGCCTTCTCTTACATATGCCAATGAAAAAAATGGATACGCAGACATATTTTTAAGATATACAAATTCTGCCGATAGTAGAACAGTGACATTCAGCCTTTAATTTGGGTGGACCCTCGTTCTGTAGACATTAGGGACTTTTAGATTTGCATGTCAACATAGTGGATTGCTACATGTGACGTCATTATAAGGCACTGGCAGTGCCTGAAAAGGACATAATAGTGCCTTATATGGACGTCACACGTAGCAGTTCACTTTATCGTCGTGCAAATAAAAAAAGGCCCTATCAGCGTAACCTCATATGCATTGTCCCTCCCGGTGCAAAGGTCTGGATACGGAACTGATTTAGTCCAAGCTAACATTTGCTACCGACTAGACAGAGATTTCAGTATATTTGATACATCAGGCAAAACATCAAACAAAGATATGTTTGTGCCAATATTGTTGGTTATTCTATAATAAAGTCCAAATATGATAAGGTAAAGTACAGCTGCTACTTGCAACCTGACCTTGTATACACATATCTCGTATTATTTATTTCACAGGAGAATTACCTGATTACGTCCGCATGATGTAAAGTTCGAAATAAATTTCGGACTTTCTTGCGAATAGCGTTTATTACCAGAATGTATTACCTGTATGAATCATGAAATACAGTTCTCTTTTCCTGTAGATGAAAGGATTCCGAGCGATCTTGAAGCTTCCCCGCCTCCAGTGGATTTAGAAGTGGATCACACATACGTCAATGATGATGTACATCTTAGACCACGTGAGTGTTTCTATCAAACGGAGTTCAAAATCCGATAAGGAAAACATTAAATCTGTCATTTATGTTTCTTTCTTAAAGGGATAGGGTAACTTTGTCTCAGATTCTGAAACATAATCCTGGATTAAGCTCATGCTGCAATGATAATTATAAACCGTTAGGTAAGTCGGGAACCACCCCATGACTTTTACAGGCAGATCGCCTGTCTGATTATCAAGATATTTATGATTGGAAATCGAAACCAAATTTTGCGTTTGCCAAACGGTTTTCATAACACTACAGTCTAATGGGGAAAATGAGTATGGTAAAACCGGTCACTCAAAGATCTTTTTTATTTTTTGAGGCACTTAATAATTATTTTGAAGCGCAATCTTGTTAAGGCTTCAATATCATATCACAGACACTGGTAACACGTAGGGCCATGCATCTCAGATTTAACATTGTTAAACGATGCCTTTAACAGAACAAATATCATTACCATCTAAAACCCTCTTTAGAAACTTGATTATGTCTTGTAATGGCATAATCATCACTATGTTCAGTATCTCTAAAATGTGTGTTTAATGGCCTTTGAAGTGATACCCCTTTTGTCATGATTATTTAGCCATGGAATGTAGTATTGTCATGCACTGCACTACACAGCAGCTCTACACTCTTCAAAGAAAGAAGAATGCACAGTCGAACAATAAAGGGATGGTTGATATTTGAGGAAATGCGTATTTTGGTGAGGGATTGTTCCTCAGCGCCCCTTTACCCCTCCCCCACCCCGTCCTTAGGTGGCTATTAAGCATCAGCAGTTACGAGAACTACAGGGGAAGAATGTATAATGTCAATAAGCTCTAATCTACTTCCTTGGGCACCACCATAAGTGATCTAAACTAGAAGTAGGATAGGAACAAAGAGGGGGTGGGGGGGGGGGGCAAGGTTGGTTCCGGACGCCAAGCGTCAACCACACTGTCACCTAAGCCTTTGCATTTAAGGAACAAATATATCATAAAGCACTAACATTCGTAAATATTTGTCTTATATAATGTTGTCCAACATAGTCGTGAAACTTTATTTCTTTTAATATTGCATGAAAATTTCTTCAAACTCCTGTCTAAAACCAGCTGTCCTGATAATCGACGAGTTCAGTCGCACAACTGTGGGTATACAGCATTCATTCCAAACTATTTTGTATGTGTACTGTATTATGAATGAAACTTTTATTGATCGATGATAGCAATATTAAAGATAATCTGAAAACAATATTCCAACCAAAGTTGTGTCCTATTGGTTCATACATCTTTAGATCCCATTCAAAGAGATCCCGCCAAGCGTGCATCTGACAAGCGACAGGGAACTTCTACAATACCAGGTGAAATAAGAATTTACTGTTTTATATTCCTTGTTCTCCTCTTCTTTTCGATGTTCTTGTTCTTTTTCGTTATTATCTCCTTCACTTTCTTCTTTGTGTTTTTCTTCTCTTTTCTTCTTCTTCTTCTCCTTCCTTTTCTTCTCATTCACATGTCTTCTTCCTCTTCTTCGTTTTCTCTTTTTTCTTCTTAATCTTTACCTTCTCCTTTTCTACTTTTTTTTCTTCTTCTGCCCCTTCTTCTTCCGCTTCTTCTTCCCCTTAAACACTATCTCCACACTTTCCTTCTTCTCTTCTTCTTTTCCTTACGTTCTTCTTTTCCTTCTTTTTTCATCTTCTCCCCGTTTTTCTTCTACTTCTTTTTCTGCTTCTCCATTTTCTCCTCTTTCTTCTTCTTCTTCATCTTCTTCTCCACCATCTTCTCCTCCTTTTTTCTCTTTCTCTTATTTCTATCACTTTATTCCTTTCCTTCGCTTTTCTTCCTCTCGATTACTTTCTTCTCTTTTCTTCTTCTTCTTCATCTTCTTCATGTTCTTCTTCATGTTCTTCATCTTCTTCTTCATCTAATTGTTCATCTTTTTCTTCATCTTGTTCCCCTTCTGCTTCTTTTTACACATTTTCTTTTCTTCTTCCTCTTATTATCTTTCTCTGTATTCTTCTTAATCTTCACCTCTCTTTTTCTGCTTTTTCTCCTCCTGTTTATTTCCCTTCTATTCTTCCTCTTTTCTTCTTCTTCTTCTCTTCTTCATAGTATTTGTTATTATTTTTGTGGTTGTTGTTGTTGTTGTATTTATTATTGTTATCATTATTGTTAATATCATCATTATTAATTTCTTTAGTAGTTGATATTTCCTCTTTCTTCTTCTTCCTTTTTTATTCTTCTATCTGGGTCAAGTTCGTGTGTCACAGGGATGAATGATCAAAATAATGTATGATGTGCCTGTCGCATTAAAGACCGAATTTTACTTGTACAGGCTTTCCCATTGTTTATCTTAATTCAAATTACTATCCTGGTACGTGGACCTGTCGTGTTAAAGTGATTCATTCACTGGACTCTTAATCGAAGGTTGAGGGTACGAATCCCAGCGCGGGACTGGCGTCCTTTTGCAAGACATTGCTCCCCACTTACCACTCTCAACCCAGGTTTAAATGGGTACCTGGCAAATTGTAACGAAAAATAAATACAGGGCCTCAGGATGAGCAGCATTGATGCTGATGAGGCTTCCCTGGGTAAAACAGTGATGAATTTCCAGTTGATGAAAATATTCTTTCGTTATTTTATTTATCCTTTCTAGTACTTCACAGCCTAGACTTCTCTGTCCTTGAAGGTACGTGGGACAGCTTAGCCCATTATGGTGTGACGGATCGTGACACGGGCCATACGGCTGGACTGATAAAACTAGCACAGGCTCTTAATGAAATAGGCCAAACTGACATCGCAGACGCCGTATGGATAGGTAGGTTTATAATGACGGTTGAGTATGTTGTTGACGCATGACTAAGTCAGCGATTAGCGTTGCCTTTGACGTAACATACGTGAGAGGGACCTCGTATCATGATATTTAGCATAATAGATGTGTCAATTTGTTCCCATATCACTCAATGGAAAGACACAAGTCTAACACGTGATTTAAGTCATTCATTTTCTCTTTGATAAATTGTTAATGTTTCCCTTACGTACCTGCATAGATTCCTGGAAACAATACTTTGTTGATCTTTAAGAGCCCACAATAAAAATGTATCGTTTGAAGGGAAAAAATCGTCCTGAAAGTATACTTTAAGGTTTAGAGATATACTGTTATGTTGACATTTATAATTTGTGTAGATAATGTTACATTTATTTATTTATCTCTCGTATGTCTTCTTTGCGATTTAGCACTCATAAAAGACCACTTGAAAAACGAATACCTACACCGGTTTGTCACCGGAAACATAACCGTCATTCCGCGGGTCATCACCAACCGACAACACATTGACATTGGCCAAGAAACAACGCTAGATGAAGTTGTCAATCGCACGAAGGACAAGGAGTTTCCGAGCCGTATTTTCATCGAGGCTGGCAGATACGAGGATCGGCAAATGGTAGCAGAGAAACTCGGCTACGATTGGGCCATGCAAAAAGATCCGCAGAGTCCGCTGGGGAACGTGGATGTTCTCTACGTCCTCAAAGTTGCGGATATAGATCCTGGGACGACCGTAGGTGGCGCTATAGCATCTCAGCGTGTATGCCGCGATTTCAAGCTGAACCCAAGCCGCATTGAAGACTACTTCAAGAACACCATGACCGAGTATGTCATAGTCTTGAAGGGGGATGATGATGACTTCCAGAGACTTCTATCGGTTTCTTCATCTGATGATCGTAAACCGGGTTTCAGAGAACTTGTTACGGGCAGATACTTGAGCCATTGCATTGTCATTATGACAGTTGGTCCACAAGCTCTCGTGGAAAGACCAACAATATTTGCTCACTACAAACTCCAATCAGCAACTTCAGATTGCTAGAAAACGTTTTGGACCTGGTTTGAACACAAAGTCCCCGTCTGGTAAAAGAAATTAGTCCTCCAATTAATTGCAAGTTTGCAGTCTCCTATGTTTTATGTACATAGTTTGGATTGATCTCAACCTTGAATAAATTACGATTAATCGGAACTGTTTATGAGACAGGGCCCAGTAGTGGAAATACCTCCTTAGTTTGACGTGGATCTGGAGCAGGTCACAATAAAGACTACTTCAAGAACATGACCAGCTCTGTCATACTCTTGGTAGAAAAGCAGCTACTTGGTAGAGGAGCAGCTATTAAGGCCTACGATCCCTAACAACTGTGTTCAGTGCAGGGACTCGTTTCATAAAGCCTTTTTTCAATGACAAATGACACAAATCAGTGACAAATCTGCTGATAACCAATCAGAAGCGAGGATTTCAGTAGCTTATAACAGTAGCTTGTAACTTGTTATTGATACCAAGTTTTATGAAACGGGGCCCAGACTCCAATCAACAGCTTTAGATTGTTCCAAAACGTTTTGGGTCTGGTTTATAAACGCCATGTATTATTGATTTGTTTTTCTAATCGTTTCTTTCTGTCTGTTTGGTAACATTTGGCGCGCACAATTAATTCAAACTCTGCAGCTGAGAGAGTGTCGTCAGCTAAGCTTTAAAGTATCACATGTTTGATTTTTTTTGTTCATTAAAATTAAAAGTGACAATCGAATAATAATGCCATGATATATTCTCGGCAATAGGCCTAGCATATCTCTGCGAACTTCTCGCCTTCCAACTTTACATGCTTCTGGGAATTCAAAATTACAATCATTGCCCCAGGCCTTCCGCAGTGAGATATTTAATTGTGATGTAAATTTAATATGGCTATATAACGAGATCTTATCCCACCAAAAGATGAGAGTGCAATCATAATAAATCCATTTAAGAATGCTGCCTGGGTGTCTTTCAAAAGAATATCAGCCTTTTCCGTAATTTTGAGTGGTACCAATATGAATGCAATTGTCAATAGGGTTGGTTATTAGACAAGAAAGCATTGGGAATGTATACTCCGGTAAAAAGATGCAAATTCTGCTACATTCATGTTGAGTTGTAACTAAATGTATTGATAGTGAGAGAGAGAGAGAGAGAGAGAGGGGAGAGAGAGAGAGAGAGAGAGAGAGAGCGCGAGAAAAAGAGAAGGGGAGCTTTACACTATGTTGGGGATGAATTGTACAAGGACTAATTGGTCTGAGATACAGTACTGTACAGAACACGCTGATAACATTGTTTTATATATACTACACGTGATTTTAAACCGTGTAATGTGTATTCGGAAGAGTTTATTCTAGCCTTGACTTGTAAATGAAATCTATAAATTGAATAACGGATGTGGCTGCTGTAATTTCACCCAGATACATCATCGGTGAAAGGAAAACTATTAACATGATAAGTGAAATATAATATCATGTCATTAATGGTATCTACAGGCAGGAGTTTTATTTGTTATACGTATTATATTTTTAGTACATGCCACTAAGATAATAATAATCTTGATTTATATAGTGCTTAATACGAAATACCGTCTCTACGCACTTTTCAGATATTACTACCCCGGCCAAAGGATTCATTCACGCACAATGTGAACCATCTCTACTCCCTGGGGAGTATTCCTACTATAGGGTGACTTAGGGTCACCGTGAGAGCATAAAGCAATAACTATAAACACAAAGGCTTTCGTAATCTCTATTTCTCTCATGGGTATCATCCTGTATTAGTAAAAACATATTCTTTCACATTGATTGGTAATAAGAGCTTCCATTTCATTTTTTGAGAGGGGGCGTTTCAGAAACTGGTCTATACCTTCGAAGTAGTAGTTTTTAAAAACATTTCCGTTGTAGTACAAATGTTTTGTGATAAGTGTTTGTTTTTAATTGTATTTGTCTGTGTGTACGCAAGGAGCGTTTAACCATTTTTTTCTAAGGCAATGCCTCATTCTAAATATTTGGTTAAAATAACAATTTTATACATTTTATATCGTTTCTTGCCTGTAAATGACTATATTTGATAATGATTATATTTCTAAATGAACAGGTACTAGCAAATTGTTTTTCTATTGTTTTTTTATGCTACGCAAAGAATATGTATCGCAACCCTTACCTACGGTTTTTCTAAAGAGGCTCTCCACTTTCGCGAAGACTTCGTACTATATAAAGGGTTAGAATAGGGCATTCTTATTATTTCTCGATATTTCTCACATATATTTCATGTAATGTCCGATCTTAAAGATAAAGTTGAGTTCTGGTCATGCGATTGCATTGTTAAAGTAACGTTGTTGAATCGATCAGGAAAGGTTGATCATCTAGCATATAAGAATTGGTGTGTACTGCAAGGTTCTGGAATCATCAAAGTGATAAGGAATTTGACCGAGTCTTGGTAAAGTAACACGCACTGTACACAGAAAGATGTATACAGGACTACCATAATATGTGGCATAAAAATCTGTCTAGAATATTATGATGTTACATGCCATATTTGGAATATTAAGGCATTTGAAGAGCCATGCTTTTCAGGGAACATTTTCTATCTGATGTTTTTGCACACTGTCTTGCATAATACAATAACGCTCACAAATAATTTTTCACCTCTTCCCAGAACTCAGCTTTTTCATTAAGTCCACTTGTTGGCATAAAATAACGCAAAATTATACGAAGAATAGAAGATTAATACTTTAAATCCAACAATTTGAATTAGTTCACAGATATACCTAATACAAACTGTTGGATTTAAACCATAAATCCTCTCTCTTCGTATTTTGTAATGTGATAGCTAGAGTTCATCACTTTATGCATTCAAATCAGTTAAAATGTTTAAAGTATGCCAAACTGTTTTGGTTTGTAGGCGTAATGTAATTGGACATAACCTCCTGTAATATTGTCAGAAGAAGTGATTAAACCATTTCTTAAAATGTAACAAACATACCTTTTAAAGGTGTGCATAGAAGCTGTATGTTTGTGTTTGTGTGATTATGTTATCCTAAAGACATTTTGATATACACCGTAAAGGTTTAGGAACAAAACGTTGGTGATTATGCCGGCTTATTGTAAAGTTGGTCCTGATACATCCCTTGATACTTGAAGTCAATTGCTCCTATTGTGTGCTCTTTTTAAAGAGCACAAAAGAGCCCTCATATTATAGTCCGGGAGCAAGGAGGGAGGGGGGTCAAACTACCTGGAAAAGAAACCAATTTTCATGTTCTCAATGAGTATCATCCAATTAATAGGCAGCTCCGTTCTAGAGACTAAATTGTAATTCGCGCTATACAGTGCGTCCCAGAAAAAACGAAACCGAGAAGCATCGATGTTCTATCATAACTTAATCACAACTATAATTAATGAATGATACATATTTGGAAAGCTTAGAGTCTCCTCTTTTAGTTGATGCTACTTAGATGATGCATATTCCACGCATGAGTGATTACAAGCAATTTGAAGGAAGGAAACCAAAAAGACATTTGGCGGGCGGTATCTGAATTTCGAAGAATAATTCACATTTCTAGAAAGTTGAGTTTCTGCCCTTTCATATGACACCTCAATCAGGAAAAATGAGCGAGGAATGACAAAGTTATGTTTCTTTAAGGTATAGTGCTTGCATTTCCATAATTTTATTAAACGAATTCGTTTTCACTGGCTGCCTGCCGTATCAATAAACGAAATTAACAAAAGACTTAACTCCGTTTCGTTGACAAATCAGCCGTAGACGAGAGTCTTCATGCATGGCTGATTGTCAACGAAACGGAGTTAAGTCTTTTGTCAAATCTGCTTTTTGCTACGGCAGGCACCCAGTGAAAACGAATTCGTTTGTCAAAATTATGAAAATGTAAGGGCTACTTTAAACAAACAGAACTTTGTTATTCCTGGCTCATTTTTCTTGATTGAGGTGTCATATGAAAGGGCAGAAAATGAACTTTCTAGATATATGAATTTCTCTTTGAAATTCAGATACCGCCCGCCAAATTACTTTTTGGTTTCCTTCCTTCAAATTGCTTTTAATTACTCATGCGTGAAATATGCATCACATGAGTAGCATCAACTAAAAGAGGAGACTCTAAGCTTTCCAAATATGTATATTAATTAATTATGGTTGTGATTAAGTTATGATAAAACATCGATACTTCTCGGTTTCGTTTTTTCTGGGACGCACTGTATATAAACTGAGTATTATTATTATTATTAAAACTCACATTCCCTAGTCTATTAAAGCTAAAGTTGACTTCTGGTTGTGCGATTGCATTGTGAAAGAAACGATGTGGAATCGATCAGAAAAGGTTCATCATGTAGCACAGGCCTTCTCAACTAGTTTATTAGAAGTTCAAAAACGAAACGAATTTGTAGTTGAAGTGCCACAGTGTATGTCTAACTGTGCTGCGAGGGAGCGTAGCAACCGAGCCGAAAACGGGTGGGGGTTCCAGGTGCGAAGGGTGTGTAGCCCCCTGAAGCTGGTGGATTTGGGGGCATTTTTAACACCATTTCATTCCATAATAAAATCAATCATAATTTCATATTGATGTGAACAAACTAATTCCTGGGTACAATTACACTGGAGGTAAATTTATATGTCGTTTTTTGGTGTGTGCAATAGACACGGGAAATGTCAAAATAAAGTGAACATCAAACAAACAAAAACAAGATGTTTCCAGAGATTGGCAATGTTAAAATTGGTAGCCCATCGTAAGCTAATTGTTGTTCAGAGCTTGAGCTTAGAGTCGAATAAAATGGTAAAAAACGATAAATTCCACTTTCTTCCTGTTTGTTAAGCAGGCATTTGGGGCTAAAATTCGACTGCTACTTCTTGATTTAGCTGAGTACTTAATTCTAAAATAATATTATAGTATTAATGACTGCTTTGAGAGAAATAGTTGTTTTATTACGCTCAAGGGAAGGTTAGAATTGTGCTATTCCCCGAGGCTTGCCGAGGGGAATAGCCCAATTGTAACCTTCCCGAGAGCGTATGAAAACAACTATTTCTCGAATATTAAAGCAGTCATTAATACTTTTATATGCCGAAAAAAAATAGACTAAAAAATAAAAAATAAAAAATAATTTACATTTTTGTCGAAGACGGGATTCGAACTCTTGCGTACAACAAGAGGTGTATCGAAAACGAACGCTTAGACCACTCGGCTATCGCGCGCCGTTAACATGCTTGGCAGTTTTCTCCAATATATACATTAAAATGGATTGAAAACGGCTCCGCGTGAGGGATGCTTCGCAAAAGCTCCATGAAACGGACCCTTCTTTTACTTTTGCAATGCATATTGGCACGAACTTAGATCAAGATCTATCGGCAGATGTTGTTTTTTTGTTTTTGAGAGTTAATTTTCGTCTTCATGTCAACAATGCAAGATAAAATTGTCGGTAAGATCGATCGAGATTCAATTGTATTGAAATTGCCGACCAATTTTTCGCACACGTATGGTATCCTCCATCGCTCAAACCATTTTTTAACATGTAAACCTATGGGGTAACCATGGAGACTGACCTATTTTTTTAATAACCATGGTTATTAAAAATATTGAAATGTTTTAAGCATGGTTACCGGGAATTTTACAGGAACAGTTGAAGTTTATGAATGCAATTCGACCAATCAGATGGCTGGATTTCTTAAGTGAGGTATGTGAGGTATATAAATATATATATATATATATATATTTAAACAGTCGCGCGCCACTCCGACTGACCGCAAGCGCGACAAGTGGCGCGCGCGCCGACAGTTCAGAATAGTCTGCAAGCACAGACCCTAATTTGACACTTGATCAACAAATCATTGTGCCTTGAGACAAGCCTAGCACAGCTACCTACTGGTAGCTGTGCTACCACAACTAGGCGTTGTGGCGTGCGCCTGTAATCCAGCTAAAAAAGTGGAAGTTACAAACTGATTCAGCCGAGGACGCAGGTTCGAAACTGAGTCACGTCTTTCGGATGGTGACGTTTAAAGGTCGGTCCCAGACGTAAATAATCATATCTGATTGATACACGTCTGTAAAAACCCAATACACACACACACATGGTTGTGTCAATAGCAGTTACATTGCATGGCCTATGGTAGTCTTATAGTGCAGACTCACTTTTACGACTGACCAGGGTTTGTGCTTGCAGACTAAGTTCAGAAGACCTCGTCTAGCATATATACATGTAAATATTGGTGTGTACTGCAAGGTTCTGGAATCATCAAATTGATAAGAATTTAGGCCCAGTCTTGGTAAAGTTACAAGCACTGTACATAGACAGATGCATACGGGACAAGACGAACATGTGGCATAAAAATCGGGACAGATTTGTATGCTGTTACATGCCATATTTAGAATATAAAGGCATTCAAGAGCCATGCTTTTCAGGGAACATTTTTTTCTTCTTTTCTGATGTTCTTCCACACTTGCATAATAACAATGAAAACTCTCACAAATTATTTGTCACCTCTTCCCATAACTCAACCTTCTCTTTTCAGTTTTATACAACAGCGGGTTGTCTTGAGAACCACTTTTATCTTTACTTATGGGGTCCAGTGGTCCGCCTTAGGGCCCTTAGATAGCCATTGTGAGCGATAAAAACTCTAATCCATCCCTTGAATTTAATTTTAAATCGCACTGCCCCCATTGTGGGCTCCTTTCAAAGAGCATTTCTATATATTTGTATATGTGTTTTCTTCAATAATAGGGTGTTTGCTCACATCGATTCTTGGTGAGTTGTGCGCATGCGTGACTTGTCGCTGCTCTGCATGTCACGTGATCGCATGGAAGCGAGGAGAGGAAATCGGGTGACAAAAGACCTGTATAATATATTCACCAATGTTGTTGTTTGGTATTATTGGCGTTTCATTCTTGTTTAATTTTTTGAGAGCGGACATTTATCCGGAAACAATCCGCCGGCGTTATACACAAAAACACTCCAGAGGTGGATATTTCGATTTTTTGGCGATTTAAGTACTTTTGACGAATGAAGTCAACTTTTGACAAATGTAATACGGATCGATTGTTGGTTGCAGTGTAAAGACAGCTTATAGATATTCGCCTTTATCTAGAACCAAACATGCGATACTAGTGTAATAAGTTCAATCATTGCAACAACAAAACATGGCTGTTCGACACCTCGGTGAGTTTGTCGTGATTGTATACCTGACGTTGATCACATCAGGATCCTCGTACGCGGAACAATTACCCAATGTCGTGTTCATTCTCGCTGACGATTACGGATTCAACGACGTCGGCTACCATGGTCGATCGCAAGGGTCTGCGATACTGACGCCGAACCTGGACCGGCTCGCAGGCGAGGGTGTTAAGCTAGAGAACTACTACGTTCAACCGATCTGCTCTCCAACGAGGAGCCAGCTCATGTCTGGAAGATACCAGGTAAGAACCAGGAATAATTAATCTTTTTTTGTCTTTGCCTCATCAGAGGATTTATTAGATATACATGGTTTATATTACTTTACTTACTTACTTTACTTCAATACACGATGTTGTAGGTCTAAGTCTGTTTCATCGATCCAAGATTCTTCCATGATTACTGCTATTTGTGGAGGGAGGAGATTGTGTAATAACATGAGACAAATCATACTTACATAATCACAAACGCATCATAATTGGCATAACATGAAATGAAACCAAGTTTATGCAATGCAGTCAACCCTTTTTGTCAACCCGGTTGGTTACGTGCCCCCCCCCCCCCCCCACTCAGTGACAGTGTTATTTAGGGTACGCATATGCGTGTTCCCTCCTTTTGAAAACACCCCCTAAGTCCGGTGTGTAAAGTCAATTTTGTGTATTGTCGTGTTGAGATCGGTGTGTTTGTTAGTGGCAGTAGGAAAGGTACATAAATATGGAGAAGCAGGAATAGACTTGTAATTCCTGAGTCATATCAAGAGTATTTATTATCTCCAAGCTTTGGAGACTCAAATCGGTCGACTTCCATATTATGTAAATCGAGAGCCAGCTAGAAAGAGAGTCTTGATCTAATGGTGATCAAAATTCAACTCCCTCGCTAGAAAGCCAGAAGATGTAATATTTATCCACAAATGATACAAGTAATATCAGGGTAGGTTACATTGTGTCAAAGGGACAAACACATGAATGAGAGCCGCCAAGACAATGGACTACTTCGTAGTTTTATGTATGGGCTTAAACATAACAGAGGTGGTATTTCCTGGGAAGGGGATTATTAATGCACTTGGTCTTTCTATTGGGAAGGATTATAAAGATATAAACTTGGCTTTTAAGTGCATCTCAAATATGAGGGTACTTGATAATTAACTGGGTTTTGGGACAATACTACACAACAGTATGTACGAGCTGGACTTTGGTGCGTAAAAAGTACCCCTTTACCGGACATTTTGGTAACACACATGCGGTCATTCCGACCCCGGAGTAGGGGGGGGGGGGTTACGTGGCCTGGGATACTCGTATTTTTAAAGGTTCATTTTTCCGGGGAAAATAATTGTGAACACCCAAACCTCTTATACGTTTAATGAAAAATCCGCGTATTGCTCCAAAGGGGTGGGCGTGGGTAATCAATTTCCCATTTTCATTTCTGAATATTATCCGGTCGGGATTCACTCAGGCCTACTTGTGGTTCTGAAAAAGGAAAAGTTCACAGACCAGTGTTTTACCCCTATATTGTTTTAATATATATTTCAGTATTCACCTTGGATTCGCCTAAGCAGAAAGGAGCGACACTATGAAAATGCCTTAACTTGCCTTTCTTTCCAAACTTGGACGTCTTCCGATGACACTACACAACTTCACTTTCAAAATGAATTTAGTATATCTTTGGATGCCATTTCAATGAGAATGACAATTTTCAAAGGTCGATCGTATACTTCAACGTAGAACAACGGACAATATGATTGCTGGAAAGCTGAGATCGAGCACTACTCAGTTTTGTTTTAGACTTATACATTCTACTGCTAAATTGTACAGTAATGCCACTTGCATTTACTGAAGATAATGAGGCTTGTTTCTGTCTATATCTGATCAAAGGAGAATCGTTACAGTTAAACAAAACAGTACGACAATGCACCTGACGGTGGCCTGTACTGCAACTGAAGAAGAAGAAGAGCCACCAGTGCACCCAATTTTGCTGGAATTTGAAGGAATTTTCTTACAACTTTTAAAATGTCTCTTACGTGGATATTCTATTGGAATAAATTGCTATGACGTCAAATAAACATATATATATATATAGTATGTTTTTATGTATATGAATTATTTAGTGGGCTTAGTTTGCCTTCTAATGGATCCGCAAAACATGGCAGAACTCGGAGCCTGAAAGAGCCCCTGCCGGGGGTTCCAGGCGGAGCCCTAGGACCCTCTCGAGTTTTAGCAATTCAGAACCTGTTAGATGACCGTCTAGAGCGAAGGAAACTCATACTCTCTCCTAGGGACAATTCTCGCTACCCTAAATAGGTACGAAAATCTCGAAATTCGCGAGACGAGGTAATTTTCACTCTCTCGGGTCGTCACTACAACTTCCGGTATAGAGTCCCATCCCACTGGCGCTAGCGCCTGTGTTCGCTGTGCAGAGTTTTCACGCACGCTAAAATCGATGCCAATCAGTGTAATTTGTACAAATTATAATATGCAATGGAAAGCTTCGGGCAGAATTAGTGACTTTAGCACAAAAGGCCGTTAAACTCTACCGTGAAAGAGAGGGTTGTGATCACGAACGCCTGCACAGGAAGCTGTAATGTCGAAAAGCTATCCCATAATGCAATGCGCGTTTTCAGGATTTTCCCCGGATCTCGGCAGAATCGCTATTTGGGGTAGCGAGAATTGTATACAATAGCGGGTTGCCCTTTCTCTGCTCCAGTGATCTCGAGGCAGCTCCTTTCAAAGAGCACAATAAGCCCTCAATAGCAGAGACGCCCTAATACTAAAAAAAAAAATTTCAATGAGATGATGCCCACATTAGTGAGTTATCCATCTAGAAAAAATAAGGATTAATTCTTTACTAAATAGGTACTGTTGCTATACATTGTTACATTTCTTCGAATTTTTATTCCCAAACAGGTTTGCAATTTCTTATATTTCCGTTCTTCTCAATGGCTGCTTTGTTCTACGTCATTAGAAGCTTGGAAAGAGGTCACAAACAATTAGACTTTGATTTTGTATTGCTTTGCCTCACTATTTATAAAGGCAAAAAAACTGAATAAACTGAGACTTGAACCCACAACTCTAAGATTGTATTACGCCGACCTTACCGATTGAGCCAACGATGGGTTAATAAAAAGTGATTCTGCATGATTTCTATAACCCTATCACTCACCCTAACGGTTACGTCATTGCTAATGACGTAACATATCAGCCAATCAGATGACCGGAAATATTAGCATTGGCAAACCTGTTTGGGAAAAAAATTAGCCCCCCGGTGACCTCGAGGCAGCAGACTGCAGGAAATTGCGCAATTCATGGTGATTAGACGTTTTACTTAAAAGTTATCTTTAAAACTCGATGTCAACACGCACAGGTCCACAAAACACTAATACACGTATATGCATACAGTTAAAGGAACCCTAAACCCAAATAATAAGTGTAGGTATTCTGAAAAATGAGATTAATTCCTGCCCTTTGATGAACAATATTCCTTACGAAAATGTACAATAAATATATAATTGAAGATATTCCTGGCATGACGTGATGCTTTTTATTATGACATGGGCGCAGCCATTTTCTTGGAAATGTGACGTACCAGTTGAAGTTGTACATGTATCATGCACCAAGCTTTAGTTGGAAATAATTGTTAAATCACTAACGAAACCTTTACTTTTCAATGAGAAAGAATCATAACTGAGAAGATAGAAATTATTTTTGGTGAAAAATAAATAACAGGGGAACAAATGTAACTAAATTCATTTATAAATACCACACTTTAGTAGTTGACAAATCTATTTCATTAATGAGAAACCTTCAGCCCAGAAGAGCACCAACTTATTTATGCAATTTGTGTTCTTGCAATTGTAGTACAAAGAATAATAGCAGGTGAATGAAATGCTTCATCACCACACACGTCTGGGAAGGAAGCATCCATAAATTTGAATACATTTACTTGACAAACGACTTCGCATAGTAGGTCACGTTATCAAGAAAATGGCGTTGCCCATGTCGTGCTGGAAAACTACATTATTCTTGCTTTATACCTCTCTCATACATTTTGGTGGGCAATCTTGTAGGCTAATGGGCAATGATATAATAGATCTCTCAGAATAAGTAAAGTCATTTCTTGGGGTTCGGTTTCCTTTAATACACATGTGGGCAAAACTGTTGTTTTTGTCAGGAAATCAAATCAATAACTTTGGGTTGCTATAACCTTTTATTGAAACGATATACAAACGTCTTCTTTACACAGGATATTTTCCTTGTACATATAACAATTATTAAAAAGTTACCCAAAAATGTACCTCTCCGATTTTGATATATGGACAATAATTTCTTTTAAATGAAATTCAATATTTCGAGAACAAAAAAGATAAATCATGTTTTTTACCTAATTTACAGTGTTGATTACTCCCAAAAATTTTAAATCGTTAAAAATAATTTAATTTTTCTTTCATATGACACCAAACCTATGGTGGTTAAAGGTTCCCTTAAAATACATTAACAAAATACCCTTTTTCGTCAAAAGGGCCGCTTTTTTTGGACACCCCCTCCGATTTAGGGGTGTTCGCGGCCTGCCTAGTCTAGCGGTTAACAATCCAGCCCCTTGAAGACGATTATGACAAGACGTTTTTACCATGATTTCTGTTGAAATGGTTGGAGTGTACTGACCATTCATGTATTCAAATTCTGCCTATTAATAGGGTGATCACACTGCCTGTGCACACAGTCTGTCCCGCGAACACACATACACACTCACAACAGCAGTCAAATGGTATAGAAACAGCATACAGAATACAGAATACAGATAAGGATTAAGAGTCGGGAAAGGTACAACGAATCGTCTCCTTTCTCTAGTAATATAATGAAACGTCAAAGCTTCGCGCAAGAGGGGGGAGGGACTGAATTCAGACAAGGATTACGAGTCGAGAAAGGTACAACGAATCGTCTTCTTTCAAAGCTTCCGCGCTTCGCGCGGGAGGGGGGAAACTCCCCCCTCCCTGCACCCACCCCCCTAGGGAGCGTGCTTCGCGCGCCCTTAAAGTGATTCGCACGCTTCGCGTGCTCACTACCGCCCCCCTAAAATGAAATCCTGGCTACGCGCTTGAACTGTACTGGGATCACCAAACTTTGTTTTACTTTGAAATTCAGTCCCTGTGGAATGTTATGGCCTGTTGAATGGTTTCTCGGAAAATAAATCCTCAAATCTGACATCTTTTAAAAAGAGAAATATACTGTGATGTAGCTGAAAGTCTGCAGATTCTTATCATTTGATGGTTTTTCTGAATAATTTGTGAAAAGCATGAGGAAATAGCTGTGACGGTGATCCAAGTAATTTCCATTGCCATATTTTATTGGCATTGCAAAAATGATACTGAATGATTTGGGATATAAAACTATTTTATAAGATATATACTAATTTACTGTTCATAGATTTCACATTTTTTTTGGACTCACACTGTAGTTTCTCTATAATGTCTCCACATCTTATGTATTCTTTACTAGATCCACACGGGTCTCCAACACGGCGTGATCAGACATGCCCAGCCGAACTGTCTGCCCTTGGATGAAGTCACACTCCCACAGAAACTCAAGGAAAACGGATATGCCACCAATATGGTCAGTAAATGGCATATCGGCTTCTACTTGGATGCTTGCACGCCCACTGAAAGGGGCTTCGATTCTTTCTTTGGTAAGGGCTTATTTTAATGAGTAATCAGAATAAATATACTACTACTACTCACTATGAATATGATGGACAAAGAAAGAGGACAAAATATACAGTTCCTCATTCTACCCTCCACAATTGCTGTGGTAGACAAAGGAACATCCCTTCTCTGCTATTATGTAAAATAAGTAATACAGGTGAATATGCATGTGACACCTGTTCTACACATTTTTACATAATAGCAATGAAGGGATGTTCCTTTGTCCATCACAGCAATTGCTGAGGGTAGAATGAGGAACTGTATATTTTGTCCTCTTTCTTGGTCCGTCATGTTCATAGTGGCTACTGCTAAAATGATGATAACAACGGACTGAATCTCGCGACTGCTGATGGTTGACTTTTTGTTGTACTGAGCGAGGCGGGAAGATTCGCCGGCAATTGATTATGATAATATTGATTATGATAATACTAGGCATATTGATAATTTAACCCCAAAACAAATTACACTAATAATATTACTGATAGGCTATAATATTTATAATAATAAAACCAATAATGAGGATAGTAATAGTCTTAAAAATAATAGCTATGATTGTTATTAGTATTATTATTATTACTACTACTATTATAGTGTTGATTATTATTGTGATAAAAATAACATGGTTAATAATAATAATAGCAATATAAGAACATTAATGATTAAAATGATAATAATTATGTTAACAATACTTACAATAATAATACAAAAAACGATACTATAGTAATACTAAAATTAAATTATAATAATAACACTACTAATTATTGCAATGGTATAATAATAAGTCAAGATCAAGTTCGTTTATTTATTTCATTTCCATAAAAAACACAGCAAATGCAAATAAACATACAAGTATAAATACATACAAGGAATGGTCAGTTATTACAATAGTTTAAAATGAAATTGGAGAACATAGGAAAGGCCCATGGTGGCTTTGTATAAAAAGTTCCCCGAATATTATAATTTATATTATTTATATTATTGAGCATATATGAGTTCGAGATATCACAAAATATAGCGATAAACACAAAATACAGCAATAAATACAATATAAAGACAAAAAACTACAAACATATGAATGAAATAATCTAAAATTGGAGGCGGGGGGGGGGGGGCAAAAAGGTTTGGAATAAGTATCAACACTAACAGCTAGAGACAAACGTGCTTTAGCAGCAACCTGTATAGAAAGACCACCTGTCTATAAAGACCACATTTTCTGTTTCCATCGAAAGTAATTAATTATATAAACATAAATTATGCTAAAAGAACCTGTACATAAAGACCACCTGCCTATAAAGACCACATTTCGTGTTCCCCTTGAGCGGTTTTTATATACGGGGACCCATTTCACAAAGCATTTTTCCAATGACAAATGACACAAATCAGTGACAAATCTGTTGGTAACCAATCAGAAGCAAGAATTTCAGTAGCTTATAACAAAAACTGTCATTTGTCACTGATGACAAGTTTTGTGAAATACCTCCCCCCCCCCCCCCCCCCCCAGGTTTTACTGTCTTATCACTGAGGCGCGATAGCTCAGTCGGTAGAGCAGTGGTCTCGTAATCCGGTGACCCGGGTTCGAAACCAAGGTGATGCGCTAGTGCCCTTTGGTAAGGCATTAATCCTCATTACCAGGTCCCCTTGGAGAGGACCTAAACCTGTCGGCCGTCTGATTGCTTACTTACAAGCATTTATACGTTCTAAACAGTCAGTTAAATAACCACCACCGACCTTTTTTTCTTCTTTCTTTTTGATCAGGGTTCCTGGTAGGAGCTCAAGACCATTACACGCACATACTTTCTTGCGAGGCCTTCAATGCCGACGATGGCAGTACCAAGACCCTATCAGGGTACGACCTACACGCAAATAAGACAACTGTCTATCAATACAAAGGACAGTATTCTACCCATCTCTTCACGAATAAAACAATTGATGTCATAGAGAGGCATGACAAGACAAAGGTACGTTTACGTGGACATAATTAGGGACTTTTAGATTTACACGACGAGAGCGTGGACTGCCGCGTGTGACATTGTGTTAAGGCACTGGGTCGTGCCCGGCAGTGCCTTAAAAGGACGTCACATTACCTTAAAAGGATGTCACACGTGGCGGTCCACACTCTCGTCGTGTAAATCTAAAAGTCCCTATAAGCCTCTGTACCGTTTCCGTGCCGAGCGCCATAACACACCCTCAACGTTGAAAGTAGACCTAGCCTTTCCTCCTATTCTGTACATATGGACGGAATGATTCGGGTGATCGCTCGGTCAGTGGAGAGACCGCGCTGTGTGTGGGGTCGAGGCGTGTGATTGAAGAGTAAAAACAAAGAACAGACTGAATCTCGACCAGGACAGTATTTCAAGAGCTCGTTTTCTAAATACTATCTTTTGTCATTTTTTTTCTTCAAAATTTAAGCTAACTCGTCTGCATCAGTTATTCATTTACTGGTACTGAAATGGACAGTTTTTCTGAATTGTCTTCATTCTCCTAGCCCATAGATTAAGAGTGATTTTTTTTTTAATTTGGTTTTATACATGCTTTCTAACACAAACTTTTTGAAAGGTACGTGTTTGGCACACCGTATTTAAAAGTAACTTTTAAAGGCACTCTTCCTGTATCTGACTTACTTTAGTAGGATAAGAAAATCTTTACGTCTTCGAGCTAAGCTAGTCTGCAGGAAAAAATGTTTCTACGGATTTTTTTAGCACTAATTGTATTTGTTCTCTTTCATTTTTTGTTCGTTTTGTATTTGTACCTTAAAAGCCATTGTTCATGTACAGTAATTACTGTAGGTGGATTGAAAAATCTCCCCATCTCAGAACTTAGGCACCTTTCAAGAAAAATATTTTTATGGATTATTTGAGCATTATTTTCTCTTTTTCTTCTTTTGTATTTGTACCTTAAAGCCACTCTTCATGTACCTGGCATATCAAGCTGTACACGCACCTTTACAAGTACCTGACAGCTACATGGAGCCATACAAGAACATAGCCGACAAAACCAGACGTACCTATGCTGGTATGGTATCTTGCATGGATGAAGGTATAGGAAACGTCACAAGAGCTTTAAAGGAAGCTGGTCTTTACGATAATACCATCATCATATTCTCAACAGGTAAGAAAATGCACGTATGTACATTTACTTTTTGACCCTATCCAGATACTTATTTCGTTATTCTGTGATTTGGCTCTATATCGTTTTTTTCTTCTTCAGAGCCCCCAAAAATAAAAACAAAACATGAAGGCATAAATAACTACCAGGGGGGGGGGGTGTTTCACAAAGATTTCACCTTGAAATTATCTCTAAGTTGGACTTAACAATTATGGACAGCCGTTAGCATCTATGAAAATATATTTTTAAAGTTATTTTAAAAGGCATAAAATGTTGATTCAAATCATTCATATTTTATATTATCAAGGAGATTTCATGTTGTTGATGTGGAAATTATAAAAAGTATAGAATAATTAATGTTTTGCTTCTGAATATAATTTATTTCAAGGCTACAAATGGCTCTCCATAATGTTTAAGTCCAACTTAGAGTTAATTTTGACTAAGGATCTTTGTGAAACACATCCCTGGTGAGTAGAAAGGGCATGTTTTCATTTAAAGATGTACACCTCGTCTATCTATGCTGCGTGACCATAATTCCATTTTAAGAAGAAGAACAAAAGGAAAATATGCTTTAACACTCTTAAATTGGCAACAAATTTAGAAGTTCAAAATCATTGTTTCTCATACAAAAATTGTAATTTGTTTAGTTTTTCCAGTAGTTTTGCAAGTAGGTTCATAGCTATAATATTCCTGTAAAAAACAGTACACGTTATTAGAGCAATGTAACAACGAAGGAAAATTAATTTTAAGAACATCACGTGATGGGGTATTTGTTTCTAGTTCATCGTGACTGTGCCATGGACCAGTGATGGCCTGGTGGTAGAGTCGCTGCCCGGCAAGCAGTAGATGCAGGTTCAAGTCCCGCCGGTTTCAAGATTTGTCTGACTTCTTTTTCAATTACAGATCGATCAATCGATCTCATTTAGTGGGTGTAAGCCACAAATATGTTTGAATAATCAAGTGTTTGGTTTAGGCATTTTCAAATTCCATTCCCGTAGATTGACAGAACTTAATTTATACATATTACAAATAATGTCAACTCTTAAACGTCAAATATCAAAGGTACAAGTAAACAAATCGCTGAACAATAATTGACCCTACCGCAAATATCATGTTCGACAGTAAACGGCGAAGGGCGCTTTGGCAACGCAACGGAAGGCAAAGAGGACGGGAGAGTTCACTCAAGCGAGATCAATAATGTTTGCAGTTCGGATACTATCTATTGAAATACTATTATTTTTATCAGGTGAATGAAATAATTTATATTGAGGCACTTCATAAAGACTTATGCATTAAATGTGGTTACATTACGAAAATGGTCTATTGTACGGCAAAACAACTCTTCCGTCGAGTTTAGGGAACGAACGCTATTATGTCGGAGAACGGTCGTGAAAATCAACAAGACGGAGACAATTCTGGTTCGCACATGTGCAGATTGATTTTTTTGCTCGGTTACCCTTGTCTTTGCCTTCCGTCGTGTTTGAAAAGGCACTCTATATACAGGTTACAAATGAGGGCGGGAGCATAGCACAGGACGATCTCAGTTGATTGATTTCTCCCGTCGTCTTTGTCTTCCGCCGCGTTGCTAAAGCGCCCTTCTATACTCGGGAAGACGCTAAGACAATGTTCTTTCGGCTTCCATAGCAGTGTCAACTAATTCCATATTTTACTAATTGATCGTTCAGGTTTCATAAACTCCCCCGATGGTTTGATGAGATCTATGTAGGCACCATCATAACTTGTTAGTTATATTTTGTTATTTATAACGGGCTTACAAGTTCTCGAGCCATGGCATTGTATTTGCAAAGGAACCGGAAGTGCCTTTGCCAAATATACCCATGGCTGGTACTACCCTCTGCGGCAGAGAGAATTTCAGCAGGATAGTACGGATAATGTAGAAATGACTATTATTGTTTTTCAGTGTGTGAATGCACATTTGATCACTAATTAGGTGTGTTGGCTCAGTCAGTAGAGCGTCCGCCTCATAACCGGGAGGTCGTGGGTTCGAACCCCGGTCGCGTCATACCAAAAGACGTTAAAAGACGGGAGTTGCTGCTACCTTGTTTGGCGCTCAACAATAAGGGATAGAGCAACGTCCATCTGGCGCTGCTCAGTGGCTGCCGGGCTCACGATCAATCGGAGAAAAAGAATTTCCATTTCCGGTTTAACTTAATAAAATTTGGAGTGGACTTTAACAGATTATTATTATTATTACGTACCTAGTTATACATATCACCTATTTCATTTAGTTTCCCTTTTATCTTCTTGATCAGATAACGGTGGACATATTGATAGGGGTGGCAACAATTGGCCACTCCGGGGAAGCAAAGGATCCCTTTGGGAAGGAGGCATTCATGGAGTGGGGTTCGTACACAGCCCTCTTCTACCCGATGCAGTCAAAGGAACGGTCAATCATGAATTGATTCATGTGAGCGACTGGCTACCGACTATTGTAGCAGGTATTGCAGGTAGAGCGTTGAATGGAACTAAACCCTTAGACGGCTACAATGTCTGGAGCGCTATCAGGTACCCCAGCCGTTAGGCACTCTTTTTTCCCTCTACTTTTTTGTGAATCTAGCGAATCATTTTACTTTAACTCATAGCAGTTACTGGATTTCGGATGGTCTATATGAACCTGTTATCATGTACTCTTTCGATAAAAGCTCCAACTTAAAAAATTAATCTGATGTATGTTGTTCAATTATTTTCTTTAATGACAAAAGTTTCTTTGTGACTAAATTTAACAAATATTGTTCTTCTAACAGTGATATTTTATTGATGTTAAGAATTTGTGTTGAAAAGTTGAACAAACGGCCAACTCACGGTATCTTTAACAAAAGGGTACCAATCACCTTGACCTTTGGCCGTTGACCTTGTTGTTAAGATTCACCATATTAGTATTCTCAAAAGGAGGTAACGTTCGTAATTCCGACAAATTAAATCGGGTTCATAATTCTGAAAATTGCGAATATCCCTGGTTTAATTTTCGGAACAACAAACTCTTATTCTATGTTAGGAATGATGAACCCCATTTCATTTTTTCGGAATTACGAAACTTTGAACAACGCGATTGCCTCCTTTTTGTACCAGTGTCCTTTGAACAGCTTAGTTTGTTTGTTTGTTTCCCTACGAGAAAATGTCTGCATTATACAATTTGTTTGTACAAAATGTATAAATTGTGTAAAAATAAAAAAAGCAAAGGGTTTAAAACAAGGGAATTTTTAGATGCTGCTTGTAAGTGTCGGCTTGTATGGTGATGTAGATATGCATTAGGCTTGCGGATGCACCACGTGAGAGAGAGGGAGGATTGAGGATTGTCCACTCCCCGATGACTCAAGCCCACACGGTTATGTATTTTTTCTCGACGTCCGCAACCCGGTGACTAAAGCTCACGCGCGCCAGCTATTCTCCACTCCTGACGACGGATAGTCAACCTGTTCGAAACGTCGAGCCACTCCCGCCACTCATCCTCTCCAAGCGCTATAGTTCTCCTTAGAACTATAAGCTAAGAAAGATAACCAACAGTCTTTTTCAAGACTATACCAACAGTCCTTTTCAGGACTACAAAACCCTCAAGAAAGATTACCGTGAGTCCGACTCCTTTTTCAGGACTCCTCAATCCTCACTCTCTTTCACATGGTGCACCCGCAAGCCTACTGTATAAAGGGAATTCTTATATGTGAATGAAATCTGTTACTTTTGCATTTGTAATTTTTCAGTGGTACAGCTTCGTCCCCTCGAACGGAACTCTTGCACAATATCGACCCGAAAAAAAAGCGACCTGTGAACGAGAAATTCGATACATCAATAAGAGCTGCGCTACGCGTAGGAGACTGGAAAATAAAGACGGGCGCAGACTATGATGGTGAGTCAAAATTACCTTAAGTTATTCGCTCATTTTCATAATATCAAAGGTAAACTTGTGCTCTCGTCAGACTGCGCCTACGACTACTACTAGGAGCAGTACTAATAATGATAATACTACTTCTACTACTACTACTACTCCTCCTACTACTACTACTTCCAATACCACTACTTCTACTATGGAACCACTATTACTACTACAACAACTACTATACTGCTTTACATTTACTATTACAATATTGCGCTACTATTTCTACTACTACTACTAATACTACTACTAATACTACTAATACTAATACTGCTACTACTGCTACTACTACTACTACTACTACTACTACTACTTCTACTACTGCTACTACTACTAGTTTTGGAAACATCATCATCATCATCATTAATTTTGTATTATTATTTGTATCTGTACCTTTTGAGAATCATCGGGTGGTATTCCGGTAGCGCGTACTAAGTTAGTCCACACTTTTATGGAGTGCCAGTTGCCAATTCATTTACCCTGTACAGATTATTTTAATCCTTCAATGAAAAGTCTCCAAAAAATTAATTTTGCAATGGAATGGGAAGAAAAAAATAATAAGAGTATGAACTGAATTTCAACAAAGTCTTTAGCAGATTATCTTTGTCATGAATATTGAAGGAGGAAGATGAAACCTAGCATTCCATAGAAGTGTGAACTACAATTCTTGTTTAGTCTGGATTTAGTCCCGGCTTAACCTATGAGAATACCACCTTCCATTATTATCTTGTATCCTTGGTTTTTATAGTTGTTGTCGTCGTTGTCGACATTAAAACATTCTTTCTCTATCCAAACCTCTCTTTGTGACTATAGTAACGGTTAACAATGAGTGGATGCCGCCACCCGAATCCGGGCTCGACACGATATATCCGACAGAGAAACCGAATCAAAGGGTCTGGCTCTTCAACATAACCGCCGATCCTTTGGAGCAAACCGATCTCGCAGAAAAGTATCCGGACGTGGTCAATGAGCTTGTACAGAAATTAGAGGAGTATTACAAAGGTTCGGTTCCCGTGAGGTATCCAGATCCGGATTTGGAAGCGGATCCAGCCTTGCACGGCGGTTCATGGGGGCCATGGAAGTAAATCCATAACAGGTTTAAGGTGAAACTGATTCAAATAATAATAATAGCACTATAGCAGTGGTGCTACTAGGACCCCCCCCCCCCTCCCCGACATATATATTTGTATTACATTCTAGCCCGACTTCTTGAAAATGGTTCGAAAGCTGCACTAAATTACAATGCCGGATTCAGTGGGCAAGGTGGACATGCTAGCTTGTTCCCTGTTAAAAAAAAAATTAGTTCATTTATGTTCCACAAGAGAATTTATATCATGAGAAACATGTTCTTTCTTTCTTTTGACATAACTATTTTAATTTACTACACTTCTTTTTTCTCTATGGCTTATATTTACCATACAACGACAGTATAATGCAATGATTGTACACTCATATTGATATGGAATTTACAATACTCCTGTCTTTGGAGCCTTGGGAGGAACGTGTGTATCCTGAAAAAAATCAAGAAATCTGATGTTCCGATTCACCGAAAAATGAGATAAATGCAGGTCTTGCCTTAAAAACTAGAAAACAGTTTGAACTATAATTGCAGAATTATTTGGGGGAAAAAATGGTGTTTATTATATAAATGTCTTACCAGGGACATGACGTAGCGAAAAAAACCTATGGTTTCTTCAGTTTGGTTTTAGACACGGTAATTCGCCAAATGTGGCTCCTCTTGAATCTAATATTAAGATATCTAATGTTTATAAGACTAGATATTGTTTTTTGTGTGGATATTTATGGAGCATTCAATTATATTAATCACAACAAATCTATCTACGAGATATATAGTCACGATATCCATGGAACAACACTAAAACGGTTTGAAAATTATTTCAGTGACAGCAAACATTTTGTATTTGTATACAATTATAAATGAAATATGTGTGATATAAATATAGGAGTTTCCCAAGGATAAGTAGTGTAACCGCTGTAGTTACTTCTTTTTATTAATGATCTGCAATATGTAAGCCACATACTTATTTCTGTTATATTTACAGATTGTAAAATCTTTTCCATCTTCGTAAAAGATATCACTTAAATTAACTATACATTAAATGTTGAATTAAAGTCTATTTTTAAATCGTCTACAAAAAAACATCAAAGGAGAAACGTGTTTTGTAGATTTCAATAACGAACAACAGGATAAATGAAAATGGGATGAAAACATACATGAAAAACCATGACATTCAGCCAGGCAAAACAAAAATTGCTGATGCCTTCCTTCATGAAAACTTTACCTGGAGAGCACACAAATATATTGTTGGTTATGAGATGTCTACAACAATTGGTGCAATAAATCGTCTGAAATGTACAGTACCGAATCAAGTACTTTTAACTTTGTATTGTACAACGATTTTTTTCATACAATAATGTTTTGTTCTATCTATGGGATCACAGTGCCCGTTGCCTCATAGATCGAGTTTTAGAATGTTAAAAGGGTGAAATTCGTATTATTAGCAATTCAGCACCTCTTTCCTGTGATTCTGACCTTTTTAAAACGTGCATTTCCAATTTGGAGCTGTTCTCTTAATCTCAAAATAATGTATCTATATGACAACTTGGACGTGCCCAAAATAATTAGATTTAAGGGATGTTGTTGCTTCTTATTGCTGGTGTTTCAGTTGTTCTTTTCATTGTAATGTTACTTAATTTGGCCTAATTAATCGTATATATTTTCTTATCCCAATCTCGCTTGGGGATTATCAAGGCATTAAAGATGAAGTTGAGTTCTGGTCATGCGATTGCATTGTGAAAGAAACGGTGTGGAATCGACCAGAAAAGGTTGATCATCTAGCATATAAGAATTTGTGTGTATTGCAAGGTTCTGGAATCATCAAAATGATAAGAAATTGGCCAAGTCTTGGAAAAGTTACAAACAGTGTACACAGAAAGATGTATATGGGACTACACGAACACGTGGCGTAAAAAACCTACCCCTCGACTTTTACGATGTACATGACATATTTAGAATATGAAGGCATTTGAAGAGCCATGCTTTTCAGGGAACATGTAATATATGATGTTCTTCCACACTTGCATAATAAGAATGATAACGCTCACAAATTATTGTTCACCTCTTCCCAGAACTCAACCTTCTCTTTAAGACTTTGTGAACCCCCAACATGTAATCAATTTAAAGTTAAGAATGTACGGTTATGTATCTATGTTCATTCCTACTGTAATATTTATTATTTTTGTTGTCATTCTTATCATTCAGTTGTATATATCAACTGTTTTAAAGTTTGTTTGTATGAGTCAATTTGAATAAATTTGTATTTCAATATAGATTTCTGATGAATTTCTTATGAACAAAACTGTATTATTACTTATAATTGCAGGGCTATTTATTCTCTCTTAAGAATAACGATGTTACACTATTTTTTGTAGATTTGTCTTAAATAATATTGCCTTTTATGTTTGATTTTTTTATTGTTATATTTAACAGGTTGTCTGTATGCACTGGTTTCAGCTTTTTTCATGGCGTGATTTTCAGTTAGACCTCCATATTTTCAACTTTCGTCCGCTTGGCAAAATTTGGGGTTTTATTTTTTCCAATCTCACGATATATTATATATATCTAGCATGTCCAAGAAAGAAAATCCAAACCGGCTTTCATGACATGAAATAAGAATTATAATGAATAATATCCCTTTTTGGATGTACATGTATAGAAAGTCCTTCTTCTCTTCTCTCATTTAATGCATACATTATTATCCATAATTCATGTATGATTGAGTTAAAACAATAACGGTGCGTTCCAAATAAGAATACTGTCTTAATTATTTTGACTGCCGTGTTGTTTTTATGTTTTGATGTTCTAATAATGATTATATTATACATAAGATTGTATGGCGCCAAATCCACTTGACAATCAAATGCTCAAGGCGCAGCTTGTGCGAAAGATGAAATATATGATAAACATTATACAAAAGTGCAATAGAAAAGGTACGGACATGTAGTGGTAATCAATTATAGGCTAAATTAAACAGATATTTCTTAATATTATTTGTAACACTTCCCCAGAACTGCTTTTTTTTAATCCATTGAGGAAGAGTATTCCATAATGAAGGCCCATCATGAGCGAAGGTTCACCCCCCCCCCCCCCCCCCCCACACTTAGTTTTAACCCTAGGAATAACAAGTATGCCAGAGTTTTGAGAACGTAGCTGTCTAGAGGTAATGTAATGCTTGATAATTGTTACAACATTGATGTGCAATTACAATAATTTATATCATGTAATTCAGCCTTTCGGACTGCCAGGTTCAGTTTTTTAATAAACCGTAAACCAAATATCGTTGAACATCGTTAAATATAAAGGAACTTTCAGTATTTTGAAATACACGATACACGATAATAATAATAATTACAGTGCTTATATAGCGCCTAACACTTACTTTGTCAGAAGTCTCTAAGCGCTCTACAATAATGCAGCATAATTACCCTGGCTTTAGCAGTGCAGCTGTTACGCGCGCTGCGTTTCAAGGAATAAATTCCAACCAGGTACCCATTTACTTCACCTGGGTGGAGTGTGGCAAATGTAGATCAATGTCTTGCCAAAGGACATTAGTGCACGATCGGGAGTATGAAAGCTAAATTTAAAAAAATCAAAAGGTTAAGCACAAACAGACGATGTGGAACATTTTCCAAAATGAGGGGGGGGGGCACCATAAAAAAGGACACTTTCTGGAAGATAAGGGGCACCTATAAAGGGAAACATCGAAATGTAAATCTACCATATTTAGACTTTGGTATGCCTATTTACCCCTACTTTTTTATGATTGAGATTGCATTATCATGGACGATTTCAATATTTGTTTCTCTCTTTATTAAATACATGGTCCAATATACTGTTTAAGAATCATACAATGCAGTTGGGTGTGATGGTCTGAATATTAAGAAAATGTTAAGATTAGTGACGTCGCAGGGCGAAAAATTTTATAATGAGAAAAACAACAACAAACCCTGATGGGTTTTAAGCGCAATTCAATCTTGAAAAACAGAAAATACATTTCGAAATTAACACAATAATTGTACCAATTATAAATGCGAGCGAGCTTTGGGGGAAATGAATGAAAAAGTTGCTCTAAGTCGCTCTATAGGGTCGTAGGTTGTGAGAAAGGAAAAATGGTACTTTTCAGGAAGTTAAAGGACACCTATTAGAAAAAAAGGGGCACATGTCATAACAAACCTCGAACCAGAAAAGGGGCACTCACCAGAGATGAAAAAGGTACATATGAGAAAGGAAAATGGGCATCTGTCGAAGAAAAGAGGGCACCTACCAGATTTTAATAGGGACATTTATCGGAGGTGAAAAGTAGTATTTATGAAAAGGGGAGGGGGCTGTTTTAAAAAAGGGAAAAGGGGCATTTATTAGAAGGAAATAGAGTAACTAATGAATAGGGGACACGTGTCAAAATAAAGGATGCACATATCAGAGGTGAAAAGAAGCACGTAATAGAAGGGGAAAGGGAACTGCTTAAAAAGGAGAATGTCCCTTTTCAAACGTAGGGGGGTCGACTTATTTCGACTCATTCGTGTATTATGATAAACATACTTTTACCCCCGCCCCTCGCCCTGCTGTCTCTCTCCCTCTCTCTCTCTCCCTCTCTCTCTCTCCCTCCCTCTCTCTCTCTCTCTCTCTCTCTCTCTCTCTCTTTCCCTCCGTTTCACCCATATATATATGGCTTTTGTGTCTCCCATTTAGCGTACGTGCGTTCAAAGATTATTTTAAAGATACTATGTCCCTTGTGCAGCCAACATGAAATTATGTTCATCTTTGCAGGAACTATGAATATATCATTTATGCCCTATCTGTAACAATTAAACATTTAATAGCAAAGTCCTAGTATTCAAATTATTCAAGTAAGCCTGTTTACCTTCTAGACTTCACTGTCAGACAATATTGAGTGACTGACTGACATTTTTTTTCTTTGGTAAGGACATACATAAAAACGGGCTGTAACAGGTACACGATCATTTTGTCTACATCAATAACCCACTACCTCTAACGGCCAAAATTAAACTGATTGAATCTTTGTGCAGCACAAAATTACGACTATTAGGTAAAAGGATCTGAAAATCTATTACTTAGATGTTTGCAATCACTTAAGTCGATTCGACAACTAATGGTCGTTATTTTCCCAATACAAGCAATTTTCAAGCCCTTTTGTCTTTATACGGGAAGTTCTTTACTAGTATTGTCTTTCAAATGCCGTTGGAATGTAACTTCTACATTTTTTGGCCTGCACATGAAACACAGTATCTTTTAAAGGAGAAATTTTGATTATAAATTAAGAGTTATCGTTTTTCTTTTATTTCGTAGAAAAGAGGGATTTTTCTTTTTTCTTTTATTCAAAGAGTATCTTTCTTGCAGTGGCGTTGAATGTATCCATAATGCAAATCAGAAGGTCTGAAGTGCGAAACTAGTAATCCTTTCATGATTCACAAAGGTGAATGCATTTTCTGGTCACTTCATATTCAAACGGCTTAATTGAGAGTGATGTCACGCCTTGTCAAAGTTTAGATATATGACATACTCGTGCTACCTCTATAGAATATATTAATCAGTAAAGTCTTTCTGGGGATTCGAATGATCTTAATGATAAATATTGGTCCGGGTCATGCAATTTGCACTGTTACAATAAAGGTTTGATAGCAATAGGGAAATGTTAAGAAAAACTAAATGTATAATATGCAGATTTTTGCATAATCAAAATGAAATTGAAATCGACTCAGTTTTGCTTGAAATCATACACAGCGCACACATAAATGGATGTAAGGCAACTACATATGGCATAAACGTTTCGTGATATTTTGCAGCTATTTCGACATATATTTAAAGGGATAGTTGACTTCTGTTGCTTAGGGCGCTACACAAAATATTTTTGTGAGATAATGTAAAACCATTAAAACGACAAAATCATCTTTGTTTGATCAAAATCGGTTTAGAGACGGCTGAAATATCCATAAATATAACCATTTCTAATATTTGTGTACCACCACAAATATTCGATAATTTGAAGGAAAAAACGAATTATCGCCTTTTACGTTGTATTTCAGCTTATGCCGATGTTGGATTTTTTTGTTCGGCTTTGTCGTTTGGTTATATTACGCAGAACCAGCCGGCCCATGTATTCTTCTTATTAATTAATTAATTAACGGTCACCGTATTTTTTTTTTAAAGTGGAGCTGAACTGGTATGATCGTATTGGCTAAGTTTTGCACATTTTGGGTCTAAAATTACCTTCATAGCAATTTTAGGTCCCAAAAGGGCACTAGATATGCCGTAGATATTAAGTAATAAGAGCAATAAGCATGCACTTTGAAGGCATTTGCGGTCTGAAAACAGAACTCAACTATCCCTTTAAAGTATGAGGGCATCCAGTCTTGCTGAAAATCATGCTGGGGGTGTTTCACAAAGATCCTAAGTTGAACTTATCTCTAAATTGGACTGTAACAATATTGAAAGCCGTTAGCATCTATGAGATTTTGATTCAAATCATTAATATTTTCAATTATCAATGGGATTTCATGTCGGTCCCTCAATTCTAACTCACATTTTCAAGCAATTTCCTCATTAAAAAAGCAGAAAAAATATTTGTTGTCTCATGTGTCTAATATTAAGACCCGAACACCACCTTCTACTTAATATCTTTTTAGAAATCATTTGCTAAAGTGCCAAATTGTGCGATTGTATGTGTTTTAAAAAACAGATATAGTCCTGCTATTTTTAAATCATTTCGTTATTCTCAAATTTGCAAAACAACCAACTGTAATCTTTTTTCAGTTAGAATGCAGACATAACCACTATACAACATTGCATTTAACGTATTGACATAACGCAGCATGCGCAAATCCATTCAAGAGAAAGTATTCGACTTAAATGTGTAAAATTTTCAATAAGGTAATTCACTTCTTTCCAACCATTCAGTGGCGCCTCTCTTAATGCAATGTCTTTTGCAGATAGTATCGCTTTACTTATATCAGTATTTTGATTTCAATTCCAAAATTAGAATACATCAACGTTTGAAAACATGGTACGGTTAAAGGTCATGGCAATAAGTAAAGAGGTATCATGGATGGCTTAAAGTGTTAACCACGTTTAGACTTGTGTCTTGAATAATTCACCGAAGATGATTGCATTTACACTTCTCTCTCTCCCTCTCTCTGTCTCTCTCTCTCTGTCTCTCTATGTCTCTCTCTCTCTCTCTCTGGCTCTCTCTCTCTTTCTCTTACCTAACTTTTCGCTATTTCCTTGTCTCGGTCTGTCTCCCATCCCCTTTTACTCTAGCTATCTCTCTCTCTCCCTCCCTCTCTCTCTCGTGCTCGCTGTCTATCTCCCCTCTATATCTCTCTCGCTTTCTTTCTCGCACCCTCTATCTGATGTCTGCCTCTCTCTCCCTCTCTCTCTCTCTTTCTCTCTCTCTCTCACACACACACACTATCTCACTATCTCTCTCTTTCTCGCGCTCTATGCCTGTCTCCCTCTCTATCTCTCTAACTACAGTCCGACCAGTGGGGCGGTTAAGCAAATATAGTTGATAAAAATGGTAAAGGGGATCTTCACATGCCCTCCTTTTTTCACCACGTTTAGACGTACGTCTGAAATAATTTACGGAAGTTATTGCATTTTAATACCCTTCCCCCCCCCTCTCTCTCTCTCTCTCTCTCTCTTTCTCTCTCTTTCGCTATTTCTGTGTCTCAGTCTATCTCTCATCCTCTTTTTAATACTCGCTTACTCTCTGTCTCTCCCTCTCTTTTTCGCGCTCTCTGTCTGCCACCCTCTCTCCATTTCTCCCCGTCCCTCTCTCTTTCTTTTATTTATCGCGCTCTCCATCTGTGTGTCTGTTTTCTTTCTCCCTGTCTCTCCCCCTCTCTCTCTCTCTCTCTCTCTCTCTATCTATCTATCTACATTCCCGCCAGTGGGACAGTTAAGCAAATATAGTAGATACAAATGATAACGCGCACCCTTACTACGATGATCGCCAATACAGGTATCTTCATGTAGTAAAAATCAATTACAATCGAGAAGTCACGTATACATGCAATTAAAAATGCAATGGAATTTCATAAAGTGCTCTTTATTAAATTTATCTGAAGATGTGTAATTGTCATTGCATACATCGTACGGCCTTGTGTAAGTACATGTATATGGAATAAGATCACTTTCAATGTTTGATAAAATCTTTCGTTAGAACATACAATAATTATGTTAAATAGAACGCCGGAGTATGCGATGAAGACATTGTCTAAGATCGTCGCGAATGCATGCTAAATCACTCTGTAAAATTGCCTCCCGTTCAGCACAGTTTTGCAATTACCCGCTTTTCAATTCTGATTCAGGCAATTTACCGTTCGAACCAGCCCGAAACGAGACCCCATCAGTCATTCCCATCCCCTCAAGCATATCCTTTGTGACATCATCATCTCATCCATTGACGTCATAGTGCCTGCTGACGTCATAGTGTGTTGTATGATCCGGGTTAAGACGGATGCGAAAGGGGGTGAAGTAACTGAATAGACACGTTTCACTCACGTTCGAGGACATTACAGATGAGTTTTTAAGGGGTGATTCTCTCTGCTACCACAAAATATCTGAATTAGTACAATTTTTGAATAATCGAATCAAAATGTTCAATTTCAAGACGCAAAAGTGTGCGCTTGTGTGCGTGTGTGTGTGTATATATATATATTTGAATAAGGCAGACTAATCGAACATGGTTGGTACTCTGTCTCTCTCTGTCTTTTTATATATGTCTCTTTCTCTCTCTTTCTCTTTTTCTCTTTCTTGTATTATATATTTTTTCTCTCTTTCTCTCTCTGTTTCTCTCTCTTTCTCTATCTTTTTTCTTTCTATATCTCTCTCTCTCTCTCTCTCTTGCATTATATATTTCTCTCTCTCTCTTTTTATATCTATCAATCTACAGTCCGACCAGTGGTAAAGTTAATCAGAGTAGCAACCATGTTCCATTAGTATGCCTATTCAATATAGTTTTGTTCTGCCTAGACATTGAGCACTAAAGGATAGAGTATTATACATATTATACGAAAATTTGAAGAAATGCGACGGAGATAATAATGAAACACAAGAGATTATGTAAAACTCTTTTCAGACATATATATTTAGAAATAATATACATTTCAGTTTGCATGTTTACAGTGTTTAACACAAATTCAAAATAAACTTCATATAATCCTTTAAATTAACTAAGTAAATATGTGCATATGTCCGTGAGTGTGAAGAAATTATTTTTTTCCTCTATATTTTCTAATCTCTTCAGCAATTTTCTTTTCCCTCTCCTTCTCTTTCTATTCCTGTCTAACATCATCTTCTTATTTTTCTATATTCAGCTTAGAGATTCTAATTGTTCCAACACTAAAGATATAAATGTAATTATTACATATGCACAATATGCAATATATAAAATGTAAATGTTAAACTACTTCCAAGGGAAAACTTACAATAGTCTTGTAATATGGCATGTTTTTAAAAATGAACTGTGTTTGGATAACATTTCAGATTTTATATCGTATGCCCTCAACATTATTGCCCTTGATTTTATCTGATTGTAAAGATCTCAAGGGATGAGGTGTAAAGTGAATGTTTATTTTTGTTTTAAATATTTTGTTGTTAAATGTATTTTATAACCAAATAAATACCTCTGAATAGGAAATTAAAAAAAAAATAGTCAGCTTGGAGATTCTTAAGTAGACCTACTCCTGCTTGTGTGGACTCCGATTCCCTTATCTCATAATTTGTGAAGTGGCTTTCAGTTATCAATTATTTTTCTTGTCATCCATCAATGATTGTTATTTCTTCTTTTCAACCATAAACCCGGCGCCATCTTGTACTTGCATTACGCACACGTCAAGATCCACTTTTGCATTCATTGTTTTATGCTGTCTGCTTTCGTAATGCTACAATGCTGCAGATTAGAATGCCACATGAAGAATGGGTTAAAATTAAATGTTTTCATTTTACTATAATTACAACTGTGAAGAGGTACTGCATCACAAAGAGGGGATGGGGGAGGGAGGGGGGTTATGGTCTTACTTGGAACTACAAGTCGAAATGACGGTGGTATCTTTGGGGCGCGCGTTGGTTGTTACCAGATTTCGTATGTCCCTCTTTTCGCGTTTCTTTTCTCTTTTCTCTCCTTTTCTCCTTCTTTTAAATATTATGACCTCTTTTGCTATTCAATCGAAAGGGAAGCATGTGCCCATCTCTTTCTGATCCACGGGGTTGGTCATCATTCCGAATTGTATGCCACAAATTGACAATAATGGTCCAATGAATATTTTCTACTAAAAGTGTGGGGCAAGTAATGTTCCAATCACATGTGCTTATTGAAGTAACTGTTTCTTTAAATTCTTATGTTGATTTCCTGTTGTCTGGAAACAATTACCCAGTAAAATAAAACATATTTTTAACTTTTATAATCTGCTGAAGCCTTTTGGTATGAACATTTCTTCATTAAGTCAACGCTTCTTTTTGGTCAGGGGGATAATTTTGCACTTTCGATGACATTTCAGGAAGAAAAGGCAATTCAAAATGTGAACATTCTTATCATGCGTAAAATAACAATTACAGCTGGGTGCGTCATCAGTTCAATCAGAAGACACTGATATATTGTTCATAATGACGCAAAGCATTTTTTTCTTAATTTATTGATCATGAGTGCGTTGTAATTTTTATTTGAAAAGACATGGCTATATTCTTTTAAAAAAATATCATAGGCCTCCAACATAAAGACGCTTCCCCCGATCATTTGCTTTACGCATATTTATCTTCTGTCGTGGCTTTATCTTCTCTTATCTCCTCCCCGCTTACTGTATTTCTGTTGTCTCAATTTCCGTTTTGCCTCTTATCTGCTTGCTAATCACTCTTCACAATCTCCGATTCGACGCTCCCCATCTCAATCTTTGTCTACCTTCGATAGCTAGCCAGTATTATTCCTTATTGTGCCGTCTTCGCCATGCATCCCCCTCGCATCTCATTTTCTCATTATGACGTAATCACTTTAACATCTTCATCCGCAACGCCCAGACTCGCCTTGCAGCGCTATTAACCACATACACACACACACGACACACAGCAAGTCACACACACACACGCTCTCTGTCAGACACACTCACGCTGTTTTACACACACAAACGCGCACGCACACACACACAAATAAACGCACACAGCCATCGTTTTGGCGTCAAGCACAGACGCAAAACGTTTAGATCAGGGTATTTTGTTGGACGTTAAAACGCATTCTTTGCGCTGTCGCTCCCCTCCAGCTATCGGCTCGACCCTGGGAAAGAAACGCGAGGGCGAAAGCAATAGATGCGATCTTTTAAAAAATTCTACGTGTACCGCATTGCCATTGTATCTTTCTCGTGTGTACCTACATCATCACCAGAACGTTCAGGCATCAACTACCTGTTTGTCTAAGAGGAGGTGAGTGCATTTTATTGTATTGCTCTATCATTATAATAGTATCTATGCGTTATTGTTGCACTACTTGTTCTTCATTGCTGCTGTTTTTTTTAAAATTTACATCCGTTGCATTTAATGACCACATATTTCATTCTCATAATTCTGGTACATTGTTTTCCTTATCATATTTCTTAAGAATTCATGATAATCATATTTCTTATACATTTATGATAATCACAGTTCTTATATATTTACGAGTGTCACATAACTGTATATGTACGAGTATCACATTTGTGTATACATTTACGAGTATCACATTACTTTCTATGTACGATTAGCATATCTTATACATTTCTGATTATCACATTTCTTATATATTGATGGTTATTTATATTTCTCATACAATTATTAAACTCTGGTATATTACAAACCCTGGCCTGTCATGATCATATTTATGCCATAATCATAATGTTGCCTAGAAGTGAGTTTTTGTTTTTATAATTCTGTATCATGTGTACAAGATGACATGTAGTCGATTCAATATTCAATGTAATAAATTTTTCATTTACCTCAATCGTATTGTAATTGTAGCAGTGACGTTGCATGTATCCGAAATACCGCATATGTTAGTCGTATGTGTTCGCTCTGTTTTGCAGAACTCTGATTCATTTACAATATTTGAGTCATAGTTATATCTAAATGTATAACGATTTGTCATTTTCCATTTTATGGAACTGTAATTTATATTCCGTAATGATAATTGAATATACATAAATAAATCTGTCATGTGAATATGCTCGCAACTATAAGTTCTGTGGGGGGGGGGGGAGGGAGAGATATTGGCACCCAAAACCTGAACTTCAGTCACATTTGTTCATGAGGAATACGATGTATTTTGAAATGAAACATCTGATGTGCTTTCAGGTAAATGTAGCACATTTCTTGTTATTTTCAAAATACTAACAAAATATTTCAAATCTATCTTGGGTTTTTTCGACACCTGATGCATTAAAGGTACTAAATGTATGTCCCATTTGCAGGCCAACAAATGAAAAGGTTAAATTCCACCAGCATTTGAGAGATACTACTAATTTAGAACCTCAACACTAAAGAGTTGAAATGAAACATCTGATGTGCTTTCAGGTAAATGTAGCACATTTCTTGTTATTTTCAAAATACTAACAAAATATTTCAAATCTATCTTGGGTTTTTTCGACACCTGATGCATTAAAGGTACTAAATGTATGTCCCATTTGCAGGCCAACAAATGAAAAGGTTAAATTCCACCAGCATTTGAGAGATACTACTAATTTAGAACCTCAACACGAAAGAGTTGAAATGAAACATCTGATGTGCTTTCAGGTAAATGTAGCACATTTCTTGTTATTTTCAAAATACTAACAAAATATTTCAAATCTATCTTGGGTTTTTTCGACACCTGATGCATTAAAGGTACTAAATGTATGTCCCATTTGCAGGCCAACAAATGAAAAGGTTAAATTCCACCAGCATTTGAGAGATACTACTAATTTAGAACCTCAACACGAAAGAGTTGAAAATGTATTTGTGTGTGAATATAACGACCGTTAGTTGTCAATTCGACTTTAGGGATTGCAATCCTTTTTAGTATATTGTCTTATTTTCAGACCCTTGTTACCGAATGGTGTACGTTTTGTGCTGCGAAAAGATTCGATTAGTTAAGTGTTGGCCATCAAATGGATATTAAAGTCGTAAACGTTTCATCTTAAGCAATAGGCCAATTTTCGTGATGTCTGCAATTTGCATTCTGGCTATTGAAATACAACAATTCTTTTTTTTAAAGGTGAATGAAATGGTTTGGAACGAGGCACTTCACGAACCATTTCATTCACCTTTTACAAAGAATTCTTGCATTGCAATAGCCATAATGCAAATTGCTGACATTACGTGTTGTTAGGCAATGCAATCCGTAATGTATATTTAATAACACATATCTCAAGAATGACAATTTTGCCCATTACATCGGAACTTTTCATGAAATGATTGTGACAAAATGATTTATTCGTGATATTTAAAGTGAACATATTCCTAGAACTGTTTGGGTATGACTCTGTAGATTGATTAATAAGGTTTAGTGAAGAAATAAAAAAAATGCATCATGCGTGGTTAAAAATGGTTTTTGATGAAATTGTGTCAAAACAAATTTGTGGAAGTACATTATTCATGGCTTTCTTCATTAATATCATAGCGATGTGTTCATCCCATCAACAACGAAGGGAGCCGAATTATAATGTGTAGTGGGTACTAGTACAAATAATACATGTTTGGGAGTGCATTAGTGAATATGCACTGCACGCAGGGTAAGTCACAGTAGGATAATAAACGAGACTGGTCAAGTTCATTGTTCGTCTCAATGTGACTAAACCGAGTGCAGTGCATATCCCAAATGCACGAGCTAAAAACATATATTATTTTTGTATAACATGGGTCTACAGTATGAGTATAAAGTCGAGACATTGACAGATGCTATCACCTAAATGCACTCCCGTTGTTGTTGTAGTTGGTAAATATTAATATACTTACACGTGATCCATTTCGACGCTTCTCATTGGCTACATTCTTCAAACCATTGTATACCACTTTGCAACCGCCGACCTTCGTCTTCCTGATAATTGGTTATAAGCCAGTATGATGAGAGCCCTGGGGGAGAGTATCAAAAAGCGAATTACCTTCTAGTGCGTTGTTTTTATTAACAAATGCATCTATAGTAAGTAATGCGAAATATGATTAACATTTTGTGCATCTATATAGTTATATCAAAATATTAGCGGGGTGTGTTCTCTTTTGTTTTAAAGACTCACTGCACTACTTGTATACGTAGCTACTTGCGCCATCTTTATAACAAATAATGCGTAATCGGTGACCATTGGTCGCCATGATCCTCTTTTTATTATGTTAATTTAGAGCTGATTTGATGAGATAACCACCTGTTTAATGACCTTGCAGAGTGGTCTAATCCCTCCTGTAAACTAGTACAGATGGGCTTTAATATGTAGCATCCTGTCTTTTAAGTGCGATATAACTTTTATTTACGCGTAACATAATCATCGTGTCTATGACGTGGGTTTTATTTACAATGCATCTATATCAGTTAAAGGGATCGTTTAACAATGTTAAATCTGATATACATGGCCCTACGTGTTATCAGTGTCTGTGATATGGTGTTATATTGAAGCCCTAACAAAATTGCGCTTCAAAATGATCAAGAAGTGCCTCAAAAAAAGTAAAAACCTTTGAGTGACCGGTTTTACCATACTCGTTTTCCCAAATAGACTGGTGTTATGAAAACCGTTTGGCAAACGCAAAATTTGATTTCGACTTTCAATCATAAATATCTTGATAATTAGACAGGCGATCGGCTTGTATAAGTCAAGGGGTTCCTGCAACCACCTGACTGACCTAAAGGTTTATAATGATCATTGTAGCATGAGCTAAATCAAGGATTTTTTAAAAGGATTTAAGACAAAGTTACCGGATCCCTTTAATGCGAAGTGTGATAGGCATTTTGAGCATAGTGTATAGGTATAGCAAAATGAAAGCAGAGTGTGTGTCCTTTTTGTAATGTTATATTTTGGTTTATGTGCGTCATAACCTTCTATTTACCTATCATGACAATGCTACTAATCATATTCTGCTTCTGTGCACTCGAAATAACACCACGTCTGTAATAGCTTTTCAAAGTCATTTGAAAGAAAATACTCTAGCTGCAATCATGGAAAGCACAATAAGCGCACCCTGCATTTCATGCAATAAAATCCAAAAGACTTGGTTTTACTAATGCAAGTGGTCGAGAGGGAATGTGAATTGAGATTTATAATTTGCCACTGTTGTAGGAACAAAGTGAAACGACCGTGCAAAGTGTTATTACTCAGGCCCATTCCCAATCAGGGACCCGTTTCACAAAGCCTTTTTTCAATGACAAATGACGAATATCAGTGAAAAATCTGCTGATAACCAATCAGAAGCAAGGATTTCAGTAGTTTATAACAGAAACTGTCATTTGTCACTGATGACAAGTTTTGTGAAACGCCCAATCTGATATGATTAAATAGTGAGTCATACATGAAGAGCTCGGTTCCAAAAGGTACTACATCCATTTTTCATCACAATTAATTTGTTTTTGCATTGATGTACACATTTCCAGTAGCCTCATACACTGACACTTCCGAAAAGTTGAATTTCCACACAAAAAATAAAAATTGCATTTAAAAATCAGTTCGGTTCCAAAAGGTAATGTATCCATTCAAGTCATCCATTGTAGCTTGCCTAAAGCATGCACGATTTTCGGTTCCAAAAGTACTACATCATAAAAATCATGAAAAATATTTGTGCAGACTCAGATTTTGTTTAAAGAGTGGTTTTATACTTGTATTATACAATAATGTAATCAGCCAAAGTATCCTTCCAAACTGACATTGCTATTAAAGTACGATAATTATAACATCGTGTTTTTTTTCTCAGAACTTCAATTTATGGATGTAGTACCTTTTGGAACCGAGCTCTTCACATACTCTCATCATTAATATTTTCGTACATATCTATGCATTATCTCGCGGTCTCTTTCCCACTCTGTCTGTATGTTTTTCTGTCTCTGTCTCTTTCTCTCTCTGTGTCTCCCTCTGTCTCTGTCACTCTTGTTGTATATCTCCTTCTCTCTCTTTCTTTCCATTTCTCCTTCTCTATTTATCTCTTCTCTCCCCTTCCCCCTTCACTCCCCCTCCACTCTCACTCTCTCTCTCTCTCTCTCTCTCTCTCTCTCTCTATCTCTCGTTTACTTAAAGTAATCCATTAATTTCAAAAGCCCTCTACACCTCAGACTAGTCTGCTAGATCGATGGCGCCGCATAACTGCTGCATTCTAATTTTAATTAAATTGAAAAGGTATTTATATTCAAAAAATAATATAGCAGCTTAAAGATACTATGTCCGTTGTTTAGCCAACATCAAATTCTGTATAACTTTGCAAGAAATATTAATATGTCATGTTTGTCCAATCTGTCAAAATCAAATGTTAGCAGTGTCCTAGTATTCAAATTATGCAAAGAAACCCGTTTACTTTCTAGACTTCCCTGTTAGACACTATTGAGTGACTGACTGACATCTTTCTTCTTTGGTAATAACATACATCAAATGAGCTGTAAGAGGTAAATTAGCATTTGTCTACATCAATAACCCACTACTTATATGGCTAAAATTAAAGAGATCGAATCTTTGTGCAGCACAAAATGCACGACCATTGTAACAAGGGTCTGAAAATCTGACTATCACTTAGGTCATTGCGACTAATAATGTCGATTCGATAACTAATGGTCGTTATTTTCCCACTTAAAGAAATTTATGAAGCCCTATCGTTGTGAGGGAAGTTCTAAATAAGTCTTGTCATTCAAATGCCGTCGGAATTTCACCTTTTCAATGTTTTGACCTGCAAATGGGACATCGTACCTTTAAGAGCTGAATGACATACAATAAACACACATCATACATATATATACATATTAAAATACAATGTAATATATTTCATCATTCCGATCCGTCATAACGACAATTATACATTAAAATAAGCAAAGAGAGACCGGAAGGATTCTACGAATGATTGTCCGATGACAGATGTATTATTGTTACTATCATTATTATTATTATTATAACAATTACTATTACTATCATTATTACCATTAATCGGGAGCTCCAGGAGTGTCAAATCTGACTGACATGAGCGCTGTACAAGAATCCATTATTATTATTATGGCCTGTAATCCAGCTAACATTGAAAGTTACAAACTGATTCAGTCTAGGACGCAGGTTCGAAGCTGAGTCACGTCTTTTGGATGATGACGTTTGAAGGTCGGTCCCCAGACGTAAATAATAAATATATTTCAATAAATATCTGATTAATAAACGTCTGTAAAAACCCAAAACACACACACACATATTATTATTATTATTATTCTCATCATCATTTACATTCAATTGAGTATGATTAGTTGATTACCCACATCGCCATTATCCGTATATCACTAAAGTATGATTGACATATTTGTGAACTATAGATGTAAAGTTTATTGTGTGACTAAGATGGAAAGATAGAGTCAAAGATGATGTAATATATTCAGTATATATACTTTCTAATCTTGGCATCCCTTTAGAATCACCTTTTTATACTTCGTCATTCTCAATTATATCCCTTCATTACACTCAAATCGCCTGTGCGAGAAATGGAAAAAAATACGTTGGTATTGGTAGAGTGTTCAATATATTTTAAGTAATGAAATGTGTACCAGGTATTATCGTAATAAAACCGTGCGTGACCGTAGGTGTCTTAGAGCCATGAAACGAAAATGTAGACCCATTTCGATATTAAAGCGACACAGAACACGAATATCTTATACCGTCAATTTGTGTTGCCAAGGCTAACGGTTTTTCAGGATTACGTTATTGCCAACCGAATATTCTTTCATTTTTTAAAGTTTATGACTGAATGCTTTGATTAAAAACGAAGAACAAATCGAGTCCAACATTGACTCCCATAAAGATCAAACAGAAACGTGACAAATGCTTTTATGGAGGAAACGATGGAGACATATACAGGGGGGGGGGCTTGGATAACGGGAGAGACATGGATATAATTTAAGAGGGTGAGATAGAGAGAACACTTGAGAAAAGGGGACAGGGAGGGGAAGAGGGAGAGATAGTGAGAGAGAGAGAGAGAGAGAGAGAGAGAAAGAGAATGCTGAGGAGAGAGGAAAGAGAGGGAGAGATAGAGAGAATGACGAAGAAGGGGAGAGGAGGAAGTGTGTGAAAGAGAGAGAGAGGGGGGGGGGGAGGGAACTAATACCCATTACGGTATTAATCGGGGTAATGGTTCGAATCGGTGCACTGGTAGAATCACGTATTGGTGGTAACAGACCTCCGCTCTTATCTTTCACTACATCTTACTCAATTAGCACAATGCTGTTATTTTGCAATAATTCGAACGAAGTAGATGATACTTTGACTACAATTAAAGGGACCTCGAGTTTTATATTCAGATATGAGTGTTTCTTATATTGAAGGATGGTTAATAGACGGAATTACTACTTCTTCCAAAACTGCTCTTACGAACTTCTGCTACTGTAACTGAGAAACTCTACTGGAATATGTACCATTCCTTTGGGGCTATTGCTTGTACTAAAATAATGTTGAGTCTATTCACTGCTACTACTGTACTACTGCTACTACTACTACTGCTGCTGCTGCTGCTGTCTACTACTACTACTACTACTACTACTACTACTACTACTACTACTATAATTACTACTAATATTACTACTATTTCTACTGCTGCTACAACTGATATTAATGCTACATTACTATCATTACTTCTGCTTCTACTAATAATAATACTACTATTGGTTGTTGGTTAATACTACTTCTGCTGCTGCTACTATTACTAATCATACTTGTATTTATTCCTTCCCCCGTGCCAAATTTTGGAATATGTTTATTGAAGAGAATGATTCACCTTTTGATGGTACTATTCCTTCTGCGAGGCCCAGCCCTTTTTTCTTCTTTGACAATCAACCCGGTATGTTTATTTGAACGAGTGATGAATTACTCGATGTTGAATGATTTCTAGGATTGTAAGCTATTTTTCAGATCTCTCTCTCTCTCTCTATGTTTTCAATCACCATAAGTATTATTCTAGTCATATTAATTCGCCTGATAGCTGCAGTGGGGTGGTGAGGCGATGGCATTTTAAAGAAGCATTCTCGAAGAAATTTCAAATAGTTGATGACGAGAAAGCAAAAGGAGTAATTTAAAATTAGGTGGTTAGAATGAGTAATATCATTCATATACACAAGAAATAAGAACAGTCACAATATCAAGCCTTGAGGTACTCCACATCCTATAGTTTTAAAATCAGAATCTAACATATGTCTTTGATTTATATCTCTAGGCGTCACGACGGCGTCAGTGATGACGGAAGAGAAGACGACTCGGTATCTCTCCCAGATTGGAAGATGCAGCGACGAGGGCAGAGCCAACTTCGAAAGCCTGGTCGAGAGCATCACATCGGCAACCGACGAAGACGTGGAGAGTGTCGGAAAAGACGCAAGAGCTCAGGTATTGTGATTTTGACATTTCCTTGCTCGTCTCCCCTTTCTTGTTCTCTCTCTGTCTCTGTCTGTCTGTCTCTCTCTCTCGCTCTCTCTCTCGCTGTGTTCTTTCCTTCCTATTATTGTATGAATATGGGTAATTCCAAAAATTAGGGACCGACTTTGTGACATTTTTGGTGTCCCTGTTACATAAAGAACATACACGTACTTGGGGCTCTTTGAGTAAAGACTTTCATAGTAGAGTGAGATTGTAAAGTGATTTTCAAGCATGTTATTGCATCCTCATACCTAGCATCACTTAACAAGCATACTCCACTATGTAAGTCTTTACTCAGAGCCACAAACACGTGTGGTTTTTCTACGTAACAGGTACACCAAAAATGTTACAAAGTGGGTCACTAATTTATGGAATTACCCATATGATATAAATATATACTTTGTAAGATATTTTTGGTGATGCTACTTTGTAAACTCCTTGTAATTCAGCCTGTGGACTGTCATGTGGATTTAATGATAAATACCTTTTCAATTCAGTTCAATTTAAAATCAAAGACAGTAGCAGTTAGTTGTAGTTATGAAAATATTAAACTTGTCAAATGTAACTGTAATCAATTGCTTACTTATTTCGTATATTACTCACAGTTTTATTACATTTAAACCCTGTTCCTTTTGACAAGGAGTTACCTTTTTTTATTAACCGCTGTATCATATCTGCCTCTGTACGAATCGGCGTGGTTTATAAGCTTTTTATCATTATTTATTTGTCTTTAAAATATAATAGTTTTGCCTTTTACCTGATACCGTATACATTCTGAATTCTCATCTGTAGTTCTGCTAAAAGCATTTTGTTTGATTTCATCATGTACATAAATACAATACAGGAAACGAAATATATTCATCCCTACTTCGACATAAATATTTATTGACACTGCAAAATGCCTTCGAAAATTTCTTTCAAAATTAAACAGCATGCATTGATAAGGTGGGGGCGAGGGAGAACTTCATCTGGTTCACTGGAGTAGCCCGGCTCCAGCAACCAAAGGGCACCTGTGTCATTGGATGGGGCGTAACGGTCTTACTTGGTGACTGGCATTGTAGAGAACAAAGCTTCCCCATCTTCCTTTATTTCTTTCATTCAAAATTTACTCGGGGCACTTTCCTTATAATGCCCCTTTTGAAGAAGGGGGTAGTTGAGGGGGTTCGAGAGTGGGGAAGGGGACGTAATCACTTTCCATTTTCATCATCACTATGACTATCCATCTCTCTCTCTATCTATCTCTATCTCTCTCTCTCTCTCTCTCTATCTATCTCTCCCTCACATTCTTTCTATATCCCTCTCTCTCTCTCTCCCTCCCTCCCTTCCCCTTCTCCCTCTCTCTCTCTACCCCTCCTCTCTCTCTTTCTTCCTCCCATTATTTCTCTCTCCCCCCCCCCTCTCTCTTTCTCCCTCGCTCTCCTTCTCTCTCTCTCTCTCTCTCTCTCTCTCTCTCTCTTGTGATCATGTTAAATTGCCATTTAAAAGTTCCGAGGGGTCACCATTTTTTTCAAAATTTCAAAACATCTTTAACATGCTAGATTCAACCAAGTGTTGCATCAAACATGTTTTATTGTTTATCCACCATTTTGAACGGGAAATGATACTCATGCACTCCTCGGCCCCCTTTACATGGTGATTAGACATTTTAATTATTAGAGTGTTCTCCTTTCTTGCTGTTGCTGGCAACATACAATTTGAGGGGGGGGGCACTTTCTCCCATGCCCCTCGAAGATACTCCAATGAATAGACTGAATTAGGATCCTATCAATACAGCATTGCTGCAAAGGTCACGGGGAATAAAGGCAATATTAGGCTGATTGCGAGATGGCAGATAAGATGCATGTGTTTACCTATACTCCATCCATGTCCATTGTAAGAATGTCAAATTGCTATTGGGTAATGGATAGGGCGTATGTATAAATGGCGATATGATGAGGAAAAGCTAAATGGAGAGAAGGACAGAGAGAGTGGTCGGGGAGTTAGAGAGAGAGAGAGAGAGAGAGCGAGAGAGAGAGAGAGAGAGAAATGGAGACACTAAAACGCTTAAGAGTAACAGAGTAAGATATAAACAGAATGGTGGAAAGGGCCGGAAGAGGAAAAAATCAATTAGTAATACCAAAAATGGACTAAAACATTTAATACGTTGTATATTTGTGTCAACCAGTACTAATTTGCTATTGGTGACATCGATTTCCGCGTTGGCAGCTGCTTTTTACTTGCCCAACGGAAATTCATTCAAAAAGGCCGGATGCATGGCGTATAGAAAAGATAATATTGGTCAAATGTCTTACAAGGTTGCATCAGTTACTGATGTTTTGTATACTTTTATCATTAGCCATCGATAGCTTTTATCAAACGATAAGAATTAAGTAAATATTAAGTTGACATTAAGAGTTTTCATTATTTTAAAGATTATGTCATGAATAAATGTCGTTGAATAACTTGAATCGAAAAGAGAGTCAGATAGTAGTGTTTTATACAAGGAAAGGAATATGCCGGAATCGAATAAAGAATTGACAAATTGAGTTTGACTAGTATCGTTATTATCAATATAATATCTATTATTATCATTGTTATCATTATCATTATAATGATCGTCTTCTTCTTCGTCCCCCCCCCCCTCTTTCTCTTTCTCTTTCTCTCTCTCTCTCTCTCTCTCCATCTCTCTCTCTCTCTCCATCTCTCTCTCTCTCTCTCTCTCTCTCTTCTCCTTCTCTCTCTTTCTCTCTTACTCTCTCTCTCTCTCTATTTGCCTTTGCCCTTTTTGTTACAACTTTAATCGTCATTATAATATTATTATTATTATTATTATTATCATTATCATCATCATTTTAATCGTCATTGCTATTATCATTTTTGTTGTTCTAATTGTTTAATTGTTATTATTTTATCATTAGTAGTAGTAGTTTGAAAATAAAAGTGTAATTGTTGTCATTGTCATCATTATCATCATTTTGATTTGTAGGCAATCCATTTTACTCACATGCCCGATTATCTATCATATTGTAACATCTTATTTATTTTCTTCACTTTATTTTTCTTCTCCAGACCAGTCGAGCCAAGCAAGAAGCCGACGATGCAATACGCAAAATTTCGAAAGAAAGAGACCATCGCATTCGGGACATCCATCAAAAGGCTGAACAGAAGAGCAAATTGATCCGTGAGAGAAAAGAGTCCTTGCTTGCTGAAATCAACCGGCTCCGCGAGAGTTTCGAGAGCAGTATGAAAGAGAGGAGAGGCCGGATTGAGACCCAGGTCAAGATGAGGTCAGGGGCAAAGGCCAGTCTGACCGCGGTTGAAGAAACCGAACCATGCGATACTTTGCAGAACATTGCCAAGGACAGCCTCGATTCAGTGCGTCAAATCACGGCCTCGTGCAAGAAGATCAAATTCGCCAGGCAACAAAATCATTCCGAAGAGCTTGTAGGGAACTTGAATGGAGTACAGCACTCATGGGAGTTGGCACGCAGCACACCCATACCCACAAATATCTCCTACCCAGAACTCCTGGCCAAATCGAGAAGCATCAGCAGTGTAATTATGACAAACGAGGTTCGATCCGGGCTCTTTGAAATAAACACCGATACCGAACAAGCACGCACTATCGTTGAGGACGCGCATTTCGATATCTGCGATTGCGCATGCGCATATAACGACACACTCGTTGTAAGCGACTACAACAGCAAGACGATTCATATTTATGATATGGCCGGCGCGTCGGTGAAATCGATAAGTATTCCATCTGCTCGTGCTCGCGTGGCTGTTACGAAGGATGGTCTAGTGCTAGTAGGGGATGAACTGAACGGTAAGATATATTTCCTTAATCCAAGAAATGGAAAAATCATCAGGACTCTACCGATAGAGGGCAAGAAGATCAACGGAATCTACCATATGAGTCGAGGCTGGATCGTGATACAGACGGGCATTACCACGATCAGTGTCTATGACGAGTTGGGAGTGCTAAGAGAAACAATCCAAGATGACGCGTGGAGTGAGCTGCGTTGCGCGGTGAGTCGTGACGTCATCTACATCATGTATAAGAAAATGGACGACCCGACGACGTACGTAGGAATGCGTTGCCCTAGCGGTCGCATCGAGGTGATCGTCCGATGCAAGATATCGAAGTTCCTGCTATCCGAGTTCATTGTGACATCATCGGGGAATGTCGCCATCAACGGTGACAACGAGATCTTGGTGTTCAACCAGGCACCCGGGTATGAAACTGTTCTGAAACGGTTGAAGTAAAAGTTAAATAAAGAGGGTAGATTTTCATTGCAATATCGAGGGCTTATAGACCTCAAAAATGAAAATAATAAAATAAGATATCATATCGGTGGCAATATTGTATAAAATCTTACGAATTTTTCAAATACATTCTGGAAACTAAATGTTTGTAATAAAAGTAATGTGGAGTAGGTCTGTATTGTTGCACGAAATCAATTATTATAACAATCTAGAGTACACACATTTGATTCACTCTTCACTCAACCACCATTTTGTTACTCTACAATAATTGGTAACTCTTTTTAACCAGGCCCAGAACATAGCATGTGCCATTTACATCTGAGCATGGGAATGTTGTGGCTTGCGGGGGAAGGGTTATATTTACTATAAAAAATATGAGCTAAATGCCCCTCTCAGAAATGTGTGAGTTGGTCTACTGGCACGTTCACTTGGTCACTTAGCTCTCTATCTTCGCCTACAAATTGGCTCAGGTCTCCCAGATCAAAACTGAGTCACGTCTTTCGGGTGGTGACGTTAAAGGTCGGTCCCCAGATGTTTACACAAACATCTTATCATCCCCTTCCGGTGTCCGCACTTGTTTATAAATGCGCGGACAGTTAAACTATTCAAAGATAATTTTAAAACATCGTCAAACGCATTTTGGAAAATGGGGTATTTATAAATTTGCCATGTTTACCAAACATAACTATATTCATAACTTTACATTTTTTATGTCCATGCGCGTACGCAGGGGGGGGGGGGGGGAGGGGGGAGTACGCCACTGTGTATGTCATGATTTCATGATGTGAAGTAATACGGGCCTAACCACACCTTTTTTTTCATAGCAATTTTGTCTTATTTCTCCAAATGTGTCATACAAACAATAACATACAATTGAATAAAATAAACACACAACATACAACACATAACACACACACACACACACACACACGATCACGCACATGAGACGAAGCTCTTTGAATTAGAAATATTCTCACAGAATTTGTACAGTAACCTATTACTCAGTCAGTTTGTTTACGTAATGCTTGATTTTATAATTATGATATTTCTAATAATGGTTGTTTTACACATAATAGTGTAGTCACCCTGTGCTTGTTTTAATTATCTGAGTATTTATTCCACCGACGCTGGTCGTCCATTTTATGTCATTATAGCCCAACAGATTTAACTATCGACGCGTGACGCTATACTGGCCAAGTTGTCAAGGTTACTATTTCAAAACAATTTTATGCTAAACAATGGCGTGATGATGATGATGAAAACCAGCGCCAAACAGTACGAATTTGCCATGCTCCAGCGGTTTCTTGAATGATTTCCCATCGAACCTCATGCGCATGCTCTGTTGTTTGGAACCAGTAACCTTGACCACGAGCGAATATAATGTAAGCAACTCTGTATTATAATATATGCTGTATTGTGTAAAATATTTTTAATGGGTGATGTAAAAATGATGTAGACAGTTATGCGACGTCATTATTGTTAAGCTACTATACGTGTATCTACTACGATTATTTTAGCATCGTGATACCGATTCACCTCTGGCAAGGAAAATAGTAAAATACGTATACTAGCTTGGTGATGAATTTGCTACACTGTATAATAGCCACGCATAATGTTTTTGTTTGTTTTACGCCTCGGTCACAAATGCCATTACGAACTGCTACGAACGCCGTAGGAACAATTTTCAGACAATGGAAATTCGGGAAGACAATGGAAAAACAGGAAGATTCTTACGAAATAATCGTTCGTACGAACCTTTGTGACCGTAGCATTACCTACTAAGAAAGTATGTGTATGCTTGTGAGTAAAGCCTCGGTCACAAATGCCATTACGAACTGCTACGAACGCCGTAGGAACAATTTTCAGACAATGGAAATTCGGGAAGACAATGGAAAAACAGGGAGATTCGTACGAAATAATCGTTCGTACGAACCTTTGTGACCGTAGCATTACCTACTAAGAAAGTATGTGTATGCTTGTGAGTAACATCTATTATACCTCCTTGTAATACGGCTCCAAAGGACTTATTAGAACTGGATAATCTTCATTAACTCTTATCGTGCCACAGGGCTAATCCCCACTGTGCCAAGTTGTTTTAGAGATAATCTGATTAACGCGATGGTTCTATGAATGGCGAGTGCGAAACACACAGCATAGTCCAATGAGCATGAACGATAACTGCTATTACGAAAGGGCCCTTGCACGCACATGGCACTCAATAGGTAGCGTGCATGCAGCCTCATGGCAGGCTATGAGTTAAGCCTAAGCCTCTGTAAGAACAGATAATGAGTTGCTCTGCCTAGCTGTTTTAGATTAAACTGAAGAGATGTGTTTAAACATATATGAGAAATGTCGAACCGCATGACATGCTATGTGACGTTATTTGCCGTGTGAACAAATTTGTACATTCAACAAAATGACTTCTTGCCAACAAAATGCGTTCCATGTTTAGGTTCATTTGTTCCTTTTTAGTAGATTTTAGAGGTAGAAGCGTTTTGCGTAGTAAAAAAAGAAAGATGGTTTAATGTAAAATCAGTGTGTCAACGCAATAACAAGTAATCATTTTATACGGTGTATTTTTCTACCAGCGTGTAGTTCGATATAAAGTGTACTAAATAAGATGATCAAGTTCAGAATGATAAAAGTAGAGGGTGGTATTTGTAAAAACGCCGAAGACATTTTATACTTCTGATTTTCATTTGATGTCGTATGGTGCATGATATTTGATAATGAAATTCTTTCAACGTTTGTGGTATTCTTTAATATCTAGAAATTGTTAATTAATAATTCATGTTAATATAATAGTTTGGCTAATTTAACCACGGGTAGCATCATTGGGGGGGGGGGGTTCACAAAACATGTCATCAGTGACAAATGACAGTTTTTGTTTTAAGCTACTGAAATACTTGCTTCTGATTGGTTATCAACAGATTTGTCACTGATTTTTGTTGTTTGTCATTAAAAAAAGGCTTTGTGAAACGGGCCCCAGTAGGATTTATTGATAACTGCAGCTCCAGAAGGCGCTGCAGGCGCTGGCCAAACCGGTTCGAGTTGGACACAATGTTGCGACTACTGCTTTGTTGGGCAAGTACAAAACAAAAGAATATACGCCATGTTGTGACCCAGAAACCAAGTTGGCCAAACTCTGTATACAGATGGCTCTGATTATTACCGGAGCCATTGATTAGGAGAGCTTGGCCAACCAGCTCGTGTTAGACACAATGGCCCGAATTCACAAAGGAGGTTTGTCGACAAACCTTGGTTTTCGTACGTCATATGACGCGTTTTTCCGCGTTTTTAACAAACCTGGTTTGTAAAGAACAAAAGGAGGTTTGGCGAAACGAAAGGAGGTTTGTCGACAAACATCCTTTGTGAATTCGGGCCAATGTGGTGAATATTGCTTTGACGTGTAAGCACAACACAAATGAATGTACGCCATGTTGAGACCACACGAAACCAAGTTGGCCAAACTCTACATAATATGGCTTTGGTTTTTACCCCGGCTTTAGTCGAGCCTACATGAAAAAGGCGGTCAAGAATTAAACGAATTTCTTTCTACCGTGTATCCATTACTACACCGGGGTGGAAAGTGGCAAACGCAAATAAATACTTACCAAAGGACATTATCATTTGAGATGTTCACACTTGTACAAGCTTTGCTATTTTGTGGACCCCTCTGTTTCCGACATGTATTTATACATTTGTTTTGAATGATTATAATTGATTTGTAGTGTTTTGTTGGAAACATGAGTAAATTAAAATTGAAATTGAATTAAATGCCGAGGTGGGACTCAAACCGCTAGCCTGGTGATTCACCATGGTTGTTAGTTTTAATTCTTGGCTTTCACTCATTTTCCGAATATTCCAAATGATATTAACAAATTCAAATACTAGCTTATTTACTTACAGGCAGTAACATTGCTTTCCCAAAGAAGCAAAAGCTTTTTTATGTCTAATCAGAAAATATGAATTGAATTTCATGAAAAGCAATTATTTTGTTCCTGTGGTAAGAATTTGAATGTACAGACTCCCGAGTTTAAGTACAGTGTATATGTTTTTCTTGAAATTTTCTAAATCAGATATAAACATTAAAAAGAGACTATACATGAATCGATTCTGTTCATATTTGCAATATTTTACCTAACAAAGAAATCGCTTCTCTCTTTTTTTTTTTTTTTTTTTTTTTTTTTTTACTTCTCTATCAATATACATGATTCCTTCGAGTGAAACTCTTTTGGGAGCTTTCACACACTTCTATCGTTGAACGTCATTTTGGTCTTCTGCTGACAACGAATCTCCCTTGCATACTCTATCACACGGGGAAACGCGTTGCATCGAGGTAGAGACGTAGCCCCGGTCAAGCTTTGAGGAGGGGCGTGGAGGGGCTCAGACTTCTTGGGAGGGGCACCAGGCTTACTGGGTCAATGAAATGCGAATTAAGCCTCTTTTACATATGACGCGACAAGTCTCATACTTCCATGATGTCGTAAAGTTCGATACGCTGCACATTGATTTCTGTATCTCATAACTTCTAATTCATTTGTTTGTGTTTATAACACCGAGCTAAACGATTACGCAGATGACCTTTGCTGCGTGCAGTAGCCAATCGCTTACACGTACAAAAATACCAAGGCGTGTTTTTTAAAAATATATTTGCCATTTTTTTTCTTCTCCCCCCCCCCCTTTTTTCAGCGGTTTACCTCGTTATATCTGAAAGATCGGAGATGCAGAAGTGGACCTACCATTTTTTTCTTTTTAAAATTATCCTTATCCCTCCCTCATATTTTTCTTATCTCTACTACCCCCCCCCCCCCATTATACCCATATCTTGTTTCGTCGTGACAATTGGCCTGGGCCACTTATTTGAACGGCCAATTAATCAGAATATGTGAAGGTTTTTCATCTCAATATAATGTTTCCTTGTTTCTTGCATTTTTATTATTTTTATCCGAACTTCATTCCAGTAGATAAACTTAATAAAATCATGGTTTCTGGGACTCGGTGTATTTGGTGAATATGTTTTGTGTCTGATCTGAATTATTTTTCCCCAACCTTTTTTTTAATTATTATTTCTCTCTCTCTCTCTCTCTCTCTCTCTCTTTCTTTCTTTGTTTATTTCCCTATTTCTCACTCTGCCTCTCCTAGTCTCTGTCTCTGTCGTATATAAAATGTTGTCATTATTTCCCCTATCTATTCATGTATTCTTTCCATTCGTTGACCGATACCAGAGAAAAACGTTTGACAAACAACAGTTCACTTTGGATGACACTTTTATTATAAAGCAAGATTGATTTTCCAAATATATTTATACATTTATGAATGTATACATTTATCATAACGCGCATAACTTGGAAGGGGTCACTGGTGTGTAATGTATACATACATTATCGCATACATCACAAACATCTTACTTTAATTGGAAGTGAATCCCAATGTTTATTGCTTCACAATTCACAAATGTTATCACTTGTTTTTATATACAGCATACACCCCTATATATTACATTTGCTTCGGGGGATTTTATACTAGATGGTGTACATCGAATTATAAATCATTTCCATTTCTAGATTTAAACAATTTGCAAATGATGACTTGGTCATATCATTAAAATGTATTCCAGTTACCAATTGGACAATTAACATATCTGAAACAATAAATATTAATTTCATTGCACCAGCCATATACATATATTATTATGATAAATATTAATACTTTTT